TCAAGAGGATGTTGACCAAAGCTTTGTTTTTGAGCTCTACTCATTCTTGTGTTAGAAATATTGAGGATGCTAATTTATTTGGTTAAATTTGCTTGAGGTGTGTCCCAATAGAGGAAATTACCATTGTTTTGCAATCTAAGCAACATACGTAGAACTGCACTGCGTCCAACATAAACCAGATAATCTTTTGGTTCCTTTAGTAATTTGGAAAATAAGTATAGGTGTTAGGTTGTGCTCCTGATGAAATTTTAATGAGCAATTTCACTATTGAATTTCTATGATATACATAACTTTTTTAAGAAAGGATGTCTTGCATATGATGAAAAGCATGCTCATTCCAAAATGTCAAAATGATTTTCAGATTAGACTTTTGTATGCTGGGGCACCACTCACAGTGCCCTCGTTGATTGTTGTAGGTCAACCAGTTCAGGAATCTGCAAACTAGTCAGTTTCAAAAGTTTGTTGCTGGAGGGATGGCTCATGAGGCACTGAATCTTAATGCTGCTGTGCCACTAAAAATATTTTAGTATTTAGGTTTCGAATGGCAAATGACAAGTACATTCTAACATGCAATCTGTATTTTTATATGCAGTAGAGTAGCAAGCTGGATAATGAACAAATTTATTATTCATTCTGTCAGTTTTTGCAAATTGTCTGTGTCTTTATGTGAATGTGTACAATTGTGAATGTCTACATTCATTTTTGATTCAACACACATACACAAAACCTAATACATACCTTGTTCAACCCAGATTATGGTGTGATGGCATGTGTTCCCTGTTGAAACCTGTCTGTGTGTCTAGATGGCAGATCACCAGTGAATCTTGTCTAAGCCTGTCGTTCAGAAAGAGATTGTGATTAATGATATATTAATTATGTTGTATTATTTATGGTATAACATATTACACAAACTGCCATAAATTTATTTGTGCTCTATTTGTTTTTAATTGGCTCAAAAACTCATCTTTTGTTCTGTACAATCTACTAAGTACCTATCTATTACAATATAAGGTGTATTTTCATTATTTATAGTTTTGTAATCTCTATGCTGATTGATTAGTAGTGTGTAGTTTGGAAACATCATCATCATCATCATCATATTTAATTACTTATTAATCGCCCTCCATCTGAGAATGCTCCAGGCGATTTACAGCTAAATTGTAAAAGATAAAATACATACATACAGAAATTAAAAATTAACAGAGATCGAATGCTCTAGTAAAAAGCCAGGTCTTAAGTGCTAGAGTAAAAGGTCCTAAGTCATGCATAGCTCTCATATAGGGTGGCAAGGAATTCCATAAGGCAGGGGCAGAAATAGAAAAAGCCCTGCGTCTGGTACTTTCCAAGTGCACTTCTCTAGGACCCAGTATATAGAGTAAGTCACGTTGGGCTGGTTGTTGTGACCTCCGATGATGGGAGAAGGAGAGGCGGTCCCTAAGGTACAATGGACCCTGGCCGTAAAGAATTTTAAAGGTCAGAACGAACATCTTATACAGGCCACGGTACTCAATTGGAAGCCAATGTAAATGTTGCAGCACTGGTGTGGGAAACACCTTATGAATGTGCTGTGGGAAACACCTTATGAATTTGGATATGTTCAATTCAAAGAAGAGAAAATTGAGAAAGAGTTCCAAAACGTTAGGAGAGAAAGCCTCATGACTGTATGAGCTTTCTGACAGTGGAATAGACTGCCTCAAAATGTGGTGAACTTTCCTTTGGAGACCTTTAAACACAGGTTAGATGGCCATATCTCAAGAGTACTTCAGCTGTAGAATCTTGCAACAAGGGAGTGGGTGTGGCAGATTGCACTATATGTCCATTATTATTATTATTATTATTATTATTATTAGTAGTAGTAGTAGTAGTAGTAGTAGTAGTATTGTCATTGTTATTTGAAACACAACAAGATGAGTCCACAGCAGACAAGATCACTCTGCTGGCTGTTGTATTGGATCACATGTCGGACACTTCCCAAGTGTCTAGGACTTTGTGATGTATCGGCGAATAATGCGTGCAGATCCCAGTAAGGTGGCTTCCTGCAGCTGACAGATGGTAATTTTGTAAGCGCCGATTGTGTTTAAGTACAGGCCAAGGTCTTTAGGCACTGGGACCACCTTGACTGGCTTGTGCCAGAGTCTTTGCAGTTCGATATTTAAATCCTCATATCATGTCAGCTTTTCCTGTTGTTTCTCTTCAGTCCTGCTGTCACCTGGGATTGCAACATGGACAATTCATACTTTGTTTTTTTAACATGATTGTGAGGTCAGGAGTATATTATTATTATTATTATTATTATTATTATTATTATTATTATTACTACTACTACTACTACTACTACAAAAATAACAATAACAACAACTTTATTCTTATACCCTGCCAACATCTCCCTGAAGTGACTCAGAACGGCTTACATGGGACCCAACCGAACAGAAAGAAAATATAGCACAAATTTAAAACATTTCATTTCAATAATGAAAAGAATAAAACCAGACAAAATCCATAAGAAAAACATAAGAAAAACAATAACCATCAGCCAGTAGCCAGGAACAGTGGGAGTGTTCAGATTTAGGAGGACGAGGCAAGGACTAGTGCAAGACAATGAGTAGGGCTGGCGGGTGGGGTGGTAGTCAATAGATGAACCAATTAATCAAAGGCACATTGAAACATCCAAGTCTTTACGGAAGTTGGACAAGATGGCTGCTAATCTAATCTCCCTAGGGAGAGAATTCCAGAGCCAAGAGGCCACCACCAAGAAGGCCCTCTCCCTCGTCCTCACCAACTGTGCTTGTGACGGAGGTGGGAGCAAGTGAAGGGGCTCCTCAGCAGATCTTAAAGCTGGCACAGGTTCATAGGGTAAGATGTTATTGTGAAGCTAGGCAGGAACCTGAACCGTTTAGTGCTTTGTAGGTGATAACTGGCACCTTGAATTAGGATCGGAAACTTATCAACAGCAAGTGGAGCTGTTTTAATAAGGGGGTTGTCCGCATCCTATAATTAGCTCCAGTTATCAACCTGGCCGCCAACCTTTGTACCAATTGGAATTTCTGAGCCATTCTCAAAGGCAGCCCCACATAGAGCACGTTACAGTAATTCAATATGGAAGTAACTTATGATCCCTTTCAGCTGTATAAGTCTATGCCCTTCTATGGAATTAAAGCTATAATGGTCCTAGTTGACCAAATGTTTTGCACAAGAATCTCCATGGTATCTCTGAAATCTTTACATGTAAAGCTATTACTGAATTTAGAAATGTCCCCCTTCCTATGCTACATATGCATTCTGTTTAACTGTTACACAGATGTTATGCTCATCATGAGCACTGGCATCTTAATGTCATTATCAGATGAAGGATAATCTATGAAAACAATTGCAATGTTTGGATTTAATGTCATTAGTAGGAATGTAGCCCAATGGATAATTTCTTCTTGTTTTTTGAAGTTGTAAACTGAAACTGTATAACATGTGGACAATGTTAATCTTGCAAATGATGTGGGTTTTGTTATAGCTGCAATTAAAATTGACATTTCAGCAACCAAAGTTGCAATTTCAAAGTGTGACCTTATACATGGGATGTAAGTACAATTGCACCATCTTGTCCAGACCAGTAACTGATAACCCACTTAATCAAGCCTGTTTTTCTTTGGTCGGACTGTGTTTCCCCATCCAGTTAAGGCCAGTCTGTTAATTTGCTCATATATATATATATATACACAAAATGGCATGAAAAGAGCAGAACTCAGTCACATCAGTTCATCTTGGATATGTTATGTGTGTATCAGGGATTTAAAAAGGAGCCTCCAGTGGTGCAGCATGTTAAACCGCTGAGCTGCTGAACTTGCTGACAGAAAGGTTGGTGGTTCAGATCCAGGGAGCAAGATGAGCTCCCACTGTTAGGCCCAGCTTCTGCCAGCCTAGCAGTTCGAAAAAATACAAATGTGAGTAGATCAATAGGTACTGCTTCAGTGGGAAGATAATAGCGCTCCATGCAGTCATGCTGGCCTTGTGACCTTGGAGGTATCTATGGATCACGCTGGATCTTCGGCTTAGAAATGGAGATGAGCACTACCACCCAGAGTCAGACATGACTAGACTTAATGTCAGGGGAAACCTTTATGTTTGCCTATATTACACTTACATTGAAATCACTCCACTGGCTGCCAATTAGTTTCCCTGCAAAATACAAAACATTAGCTGTCACCTAAAAAGTTGTTTATGGTTTGAGTCCAGGTTACCAATGGGGGTACCGCCTCCTGTATAATCCACCCCTTACACTCACGTCTTCTGGGGAACACTTACTTCAGTCAGCCAGGACCAGACTTGCAACTGTTAAGCGGAAGACATTGTCATTGATCACCCTCAAATTGTGGAATGAGGAGAGACTTGACATCTGAGTATAGTGCTTGTGTTTAAAACACCATTAAAGAGCAATATCTTCTGGCAGGCCTATCCAGATGGTTTTTAAATTAGGAAAGGGAAGGGGAAACCTTTACCTTTACATATTGAAGATTTCTTGGCAAATAATGTTTACCACTGTCTTCCTTTATGGCTAAGACAAAGAGAGAGTGTGTCTTGCCCATGGTCATTCAGTGGGTTCCCACAGCTCAAATGATTACCCTACACTGGTTCTTCTTATGCATATTTTTCAAAGAATATGTCTCCTTGAATTCTCCTTGAATGCAAAAACGCTTTTGATCATACATGTAAAGGATTGTTCTGTAATATCAATAGAACAATGGCACTGTATTGTTATTTGTTTAGGGCTCTGTTGCTGCCACTTTTAGGTACTACACATAAGTGGTAGTAAAGCTACATGCTCATTTCCCACTTGAACAAAGAAAATGTGTGAAGCAAATGGGTCTTTGACATGGGATTTTCCTTCCGAATCCAACATGTTGGACTGAGTGCAGACCACTTGCTGGAAGTAAATGATCCTCAGAACCGGATGACAATCCTCTCTTAATGTGAACAATTCAAATAACTTTTCATTCTCTTTCTCTCAGCAGCAGCAACAGAAGAACCAGAGGTAATTCCTGACCCAGCCAAGCAGACAGATCGTGTTGTGAAAATAGCCGGAATAAGTGCTGGAATTTTAGTCTTCATTCTCCTCCTCCTCCTTGTCATATTAATTGTCAAAAAAAGGTAAGTACTGCGAATCTGTCATTTCCCTTTCATTTGATACTGTCAAGTAATTTAAAAGAAATTCTTTTACAGGTCATTTCAGGAAATATTTCTTAAGGAGAACATTGTTATTTTTGGATTAAGACATTGTACAGTGGAGAACCAATACCCTACAGTAATATCAAATTTGTTTAACTAAGGGCTGTGAAATGTATACAGGCAAAAGTATGAACAAATACACCAAAGTAACTGAAATAACACTTTCTTTTTTTACATAATCGTCCTATTTTCATAAAGTTTAAACCAATCCTGCTCTTTCCAGTAGCTTTAATTAATTTTTAATAGTGGTGCATTGTCTAGCTAGTTTGTCCTGGAAAATATTTTAGGATTATACTAACTTCATTTGAAACATTCAGAATATTAGAAAATAATATCTAAAATTACATTATATCACCATAATTCTCTTGCTGGGTTATATGTATGCAAAAATGTAGTAAGTGATACTTGGACAAAAATATATTTTTTTCACTTGAATAAGTTCTAACAATATGACAAAAAGCAATAGCGCCATCTTCTGGAATAATAAATAGCTAAGGAAAAATGTTTATGTTTCATAGTGGAGTATTTAATAATTTTTATTTAAAAATATCAAACATGTAACTTTTAAATTTCATTATTTTATACTCTGCCATAAATTAAGAGTGAAGTTACTAATAAAAGAATACCAAAACCTTATTTCCATGCATTTCTTCCTTCTGAACACCAAAACGTGGAGTATATCAAATTAGTCCACTGGTTCATCCAGCTCAAAACTATGTACTTGGATAGACAGACAGATAGCTCATCACTCAGTGCTTTGTAATTCTTTAGCCAGAGCTACCATAAAACAGAACCTGTGAATTTATGCATGCAAAGCATGTGCTCCAACATAATGTTGTGGAATTTTGGCTTCAAAAATGCATTAAGATGTGTCTCATTTTTTCTAGATTAGAAAAATATAAGAACAATATACATCTGTATTTCTGTTTTAAGTTAAAATGAATTTTTTTCTCTTCATTTTTACCAAGTCAAAACATTACAATTGTGTGTGAAGTTCATATCTATGTCTTAATGGTTTCCAATAGATTTTTTTAATTTATTGCCTTTTTACAATTATTCCCTGGAGATATATAACATGGAGAAGAAACGTCTGCATTAGAAACCTTAGGTATGCTTAATAGTGTTCTGTGTTAGTTAGATACATATGTGATTTTTCCCAACAGTGCTTTCACTTTTTTTTCCTGTTGTGTACCTCTGTGCTTAAGAATAAATATACATACTATTGTCATATACAAATGGCAAGAATTCCATCAGTATTAGTTATTTATGCAAAAATAATATAATTGATCATTAGGGTTGCAGAGTGTAACTCAGTATATAGCTATCCTCAAAATTTTAATTTTCATTTAAGAAATTGCCGTATTTTCTAGTGTTTACTAGGGCCAGTTCTCCTTTTACTATTTATCTTGAAATATTCCATATTTAGACTACAATTGTAAGTATCCCCCATCAAAAATAGTAACTGGCCATGGAATTCCAGGAGTTGTAATCCAAAACGTTACTATTTCCACACTCTGCTAAAGATATGCACTAAACCTTTCTAGGTTCCTTAGTTCACAGTATTTCTTGCACCTTCACATTGGCCTTCCTTCATGCTCTCTCTTACTCTAGAAATGTTCAGGAAATTGCAACCCCTGTAACAAAATCTTTATACCAGAAGAAGGCAAATACTGGGCATACTGGCTCAGTATTAAATATTGAAATGACTGTTGTGGTTTTCTCAAACATCTATTAAACATCTTTGTTTAATAAAAAGTAAAATTACTCATTCTGTGTTGAGATATGGAGTTAAATATATGAGGCCTGCTGCTGTTACAGATAATTGGCAGGATTTCACAGAATTAGGGAAAAAAAAGACAAGCCTACAGCTTTCTTTAGGATTGTCCTCATATGGGGTTTACTCCAAGCCTAGATCAAGGATGACAGAGCTTTTTAGGATCCCTTTCATTAGACTGAACTGACATTGGGGAGGAGCCTTGCCCTGCTGCCACCTCAAACTTGAAGTCAGTTGAATTCTGATGTGTTTCAGCACCTATCCATTTAATGCTTTGCTGTTTTGGGGTTTTCTAGCTGGAATGAAATATTGAAGTTACAATTGAATCCCATGTAGAGAAATTATAGAGCAGGACTAGAAAGCTTTCGACTCTCCAGGAACTGTTGAACTATTATCTTATCATTCCTCAGAGATGGACAAACTGATGAGAAATGGGGTTCAGAAACATCTAGAAGTTCACAAGCTCTTTATTCCCATTACAGAATTTGTCAGAAGCTGTGTTTTTTAAATCTCTTGAGTATGTGGATGGAGGGCTTCAAAGTTTTGAGGTTTTTAAGGGGTTTGTAAGAGATGGGCACTATCCAAATTGCATTTTATAAGCGTTTCATAGCTGTGTGCCACCTTACCTAACAACCAAGTTGAGTGATGCCTTGCACATATTTACTTTTATAATACTGAGCATTGCACATATTTTATAGAAATATTGTAGTAGGAATAATGTATTTAAATTGAAATGTGATCCCAGTATATCCTTTGAGCATGCTTAGTTAACTGAGCAATTCCTTCAGTGGCCTAAAATCGTGTCCTCATTGTGTCTTCATTATTTATTTACTTTGTTTTATACCCTACCCTCTCTCCCTCATTGAGGGATTCAGAGTTGCTATTGGGCGAGAATTCCTTGTAAAACTTGCCTTCATGCAATTTAGCCACAAAGAGAAGAATGAATTGGCAACTGTTCTTCATATATCTCAAACAAAGACTCTTCTGTTGATTGATAAATTAGCCAGCTAAATAAAAAATGTTTTGATTATTACCAGTACTTTAAACAGCTGCAAATGTAAGATCTCTGTCTCATTCCATATTCAAACCAATAAGGAAATTACCATTTGTAATGAAACTATAATGTATGGAAATTTTTCATGATCATTAATTTAAATGGGTGTCTATTGTAATACATGATTCATCCATTTCTTTGTCTTCTTTCTTCAATAAATGTGGAGAATTTTGTTCCCTAAGTGTTTGGACAAAAGTTACCACTGACATATTTTACTTGATAAGCACATACTACAAATTTGCAGCACAGCCATGTTGAAATTTATTAAAGCTGATTTAAAAGAGATTCATGTGACTAGTTTTTGGCATGAAAGCTGAACATTAACATTGTCTGACACATGTTTAAGCCAGGCTCTTAAGTTGTGCTTACTATGTAAAAAAAAGAAAAGAAAAGCTGCTTAGGAGCTCCCTTAGCAACATGCCAGAAAAGCTGGAGGAGATCCAAATCAAACACAGAAGGAAGAAGGAGTCACTGCCTGGTCATCTAAACTTAGCTGAGTTGTCATTTCCCTCTATTCCAGCCTCTCCTCAAATCCTAGGGGAAATTGTCCAGAAAGGGTATCAATCTTCATCCATCTTTTTGGATTCTTTGGCAACAGTTATCTCTGACCATCTCTGCCAGTTGGTTGAGAAGTCAGCACACTTCAGCATCAGAAAGTATAGGAGTTGCAAACCAAATTTATAGAAGCCGTAAACCACCTCAAAATGTAATTCTGGCTTGCTTTGTATTGGAGGGGTTAAAATAATTTTGTATAATATATGGAGCCTATCTCACAAATGGCTTGCCTTATGGAATTCCACTTCCCAGTTATGGTGCAGTCTTACCTTTATGTCTTGATTTAATCGAGGTTTGTAATCTATTTCTAGAATGGAACAATCTGTTATATTGAATCAGTCTATTGCAATTACCATTAGTCCCATATCTATAGACACAGGTACACTCCATAGTGATCTCCTCATATCAGTTCTCCCAAAATTCCTATTTTCATCTGTTTAGAGGGATAGGGACAAAACTGATTTTAACTGATTATTTGTTCCCTTTGGACCAAGAACTTTTCATTAATCTATATTCCTCTTACTTAGGGAAACATGCCTTGTATATTTATTTACTTCTAAATGCCACAGCATGTAAATAGTTTGAAAATGTTTTGTTCTAATCTTTGAATGCTTAGTATACTTGTAGGTGTTATAAATAATCATTGATCATTATTCTTTACATACATATTAGCAATTCCATCATGTGGTATCCCTTTTGATACTTGATACTTGTCACATGAATATAATTCTGCTTGGGGAAAATAATCTGAATGGTAAGCAGTTTTGTTTGAGTTCATGAATCAGAGGTGTCTTAACGCTTTGCCTGATCATTTAGTACAAACCGATTTGAAGTTGAATTGAATGAAAACTCTATTAGTTGTCATAGAGTTTTACAAGTAATCAAACTGCATAAGAAAAGGGATACTGCATCTCTTGAATAGCAAAAAACTGGGCTTTTTGTTTTTAATCATTGTTGAAATATTTCCAAATGTACATTATATTCTTCCATTTCCTTCCCATTTTTAAAAAAAGCAAAGCATGCCTATAGCAGCATTTCAATCCTTAAAATTAAAATTAAAAGTATTTAATGTGTGTGTGTGATAGAAATATATAGATACAGTGCACACATACATCTGTAGAGATGATGGAGCAATAGCAAACTAGCAATACAGGATGTTGGTAACAATGCTGACACCTGTATACATGTATGTGGCCATCTTAGTTGTTTGTTAACCCAGCTCTGCTACTGCAAGCTGTCAGTTTTTAATGGAAAGTAAACATGAGAGAAAGAGAAAAGACTGAGAGCACAAGATCTGTACACAGCTGTTCTGTATGTCATGACATTTAGATGAGTTTATCAGTCATCACATTTATGCTGAACTGCATGTTGAAAATGCATAAACCATTTAATTTCCTTTATTTTTTCAATAAATGAAGTGTCAGCATGTCATTTTTCTCTAGTGATCTCCTTTTAATACTGACGCCATTTTTATATATGCTAACATATATTTTTTTGTAATTGCATGGCACCATAAGGCTAATCAGTGCATGAGCAAATTTGTAAAGCTAACAAAGACAACATAAATTTTGATATTTTTTAAACGCACATTTCTCTGCTTTGTTGAATGTGACAGTGTCACGCTTTTCATTCACCATTGCTTCTCTTTTTCCACTGTCTGTGATTTGCTTGCCAGGAGGAGCTACTATTCTTACTCCTACTACCTGTAAGTAGAAATGGGTGACTTACTTCTTTACATGTTTTGAAGATGCAGTATCCCTTTTCACCACAAACAAAATGAAAAAAGTTGTTTGCCAAATTTGTCCAAGCAATTTTATTTGTTTATGTGTCTTTTTTGAGGAGCTAAACATTCTCTTATGGATTTGGCTTTTATTTTTAAAGGGATATTGTATTCTAACTGAATGTAGATTTTATTTTTCTTCATTTGGTTTTATTCTTTTCCCCCATTCCTTTTCATATCATTGCAACTTAATTTTCAATCTCAAGCTCTCTTCTAAAAATGTTTGAATGTGGTAATTGTTTTTAGTCTCCTTGTGGAGAAAAAAAGTGGGATATAAATAAAAATAATAATAATCTTCATCATCATCCTAGTTGAAAGGATATGGGTGCTTCCACACAGACCATTTAGGTCATTGTAGCTTTGTATCATGCAGTGGACATCTACACCATGCATGCCGGCTGCTACAATTTCACCTGGGGAAAGCTGCTTAATGCAGCTGCACCCCAGGTTGAAAAAAACACATAGGAAACCCTGAATCCTATGGAGGTCCATACTTAGGGCCCTTCCACACAGCCATATAACCCAGAATATCAAGACAGATAATCCCACAATACCTGTTTTGAACTGGGTTATCTGAGTCCACACTGCCATATATTCCAGTTCAAAACAGAAAATGTGAAAATTTATTCAGCTGTGTGGAAGGGGCCTCAGTTGTCTATCCTGGTGCTGAGGCAGTTGACAGCACCTATATCTAACCACAATGTGGTATGGAACCATCATTTTTATGCCAGTTCTGAGCTGCATTATATGACTCCGTAGAACCACCCTTCAAGCCTTCCCACTTCCGGTAGCAAACTTAATTTAGGTTAAATTCATTTAGAGCATTTGTATCCCATCCTTCTCATCCCCCAAAGGGGAACTCAGGACAGCTTACAATTGGCAGTCATTAGATGCCAACAAAGAAACAGTTAAAGCACAACAATTAACTTAAACAGGTCAACAGCAATAAAAAATACATTAAAAAGCAATACAATTCTCAAATGTCACAGGTAAATAGAGATGAGCATGGTTTGCTTGAAGGCACCATTCAGACAGTGAAATAATTCTAAACCATACCATGCTATAATGCAAAAAACACAACTCCACTTCAAACACGTAACTTCATTAATGCAAGACTCAAGGACCAGAGGCCACCACAAAGTTCTAGGTAAATCTCACTAGATTGCATGGGACCCCTCTGAGTGTTTTTGGGTTTCTCATTCATTTCAACAGGACTTGTACAGGAGGATTTCCAGCAAGCTGTGTGACAGACTAGTTGCAACCACTGAATACAGTATGAAAACATATGTAGGCATTGGATCTACATGCTTTCTTATAACAGAAGGAAGGAAGGAAGGAAGGAAGGAAGGAAGGAAGGAAGGAAGGAAGGAAGGAAGGAAGGAAGGAAGGAAGGAAGGAAGGAAGGGAAAGACACATGCTCCTGTTTCCTTAGCAGTAGGATCAGGGTTTTCCTTCATCTCACAAAATCCTTTGTGACAAACCATAGAATGCTCCTTCTGAGAGAATTGGGTTTATTTCTAGCCCCTTCTTTTTCGACATGTCTGGTGTGAAAGCAAACAACTTGTTTATCAGCTTTTCATCTTCTTCTCTTTTTAGTGTCACCTGCCTCTTTTATTAGGACTACATGAGTTTGCACAGAAAGGAACACAGTGCTAGAAGGGGGTGGTGGGATCACTTCTTTAGAGGTAAAGACACATGGGATATCCAAGGCTTTTTACACAGGTTCTTCCCTGTTGTGCTTACCACATTCACTTCATTGGCCCCTTATTTTCATTCCTGGTCATCCTCCTGCAGAGAAAGATATTATCTAGCAGAGTTTTTAAAAAAGTAGACATGTTCTGAACTTTCTTTAGATAATTTTGTTCTTGAGATTTTTACTTTCAAAGAGCAAGCCTTTAGGTTGTGTCTAAATTGTTTTTTTTGTGTTGTTTCTGAGATGCCTAAAATGGTGGCAATAGTTATAATAGTTTGAAAGGGTCTATCAAAGATTAGATTAGTGGGAACCAAAATTAGCCTACAGAGTAAAAACATCGCATCACAATACAGACTTGACTGTACTGAATTGTAGTTTGCTTGAGCCCATGAATCGGTAGTGTGCTAGATAGGGAAATTTTCTTTCTTTGTTTTTTTTTTATAATTTTTTTATTGATTTATCACATTTATTACATACTATTGCATTTTGTACATCAACCTCTTTAACATGTTGTTTTATTGTTTTGCTTTGACAATTCCCCTCCTTTTCTCTTTTTTCCTTTTTTTTCCCGCCACAGTGCTCCCCTCCACCCGTCTCAAGCCACCATTCTTACATTTCATCTGTCCAAAATTTCATTTCTTCTTGTGACGGTAATTTTCCTTCCTTATTTTTTAATCCATTTACCACAAATCTTCCCCATACAGCATCAAAATCACTTTGTTTCCATGTACCTTTTTTAACCTTTAATATACATGTCAGTTTATCATTTAAAGCTATTTTCCATGCTTCCTTATACCACTCCTCTATTTGTATATTCATTTCTTTTTTCCAATTCCTTGCTATGAGCAGTCTTGCTATAGTTAATAAGTTTGTTATCGCTTCTTTATCCTCCTTTTTCAATTGCTTATTGTTATATAATGATAGTAAGGCTATACAAGGACTTTTATCTATTTTCATATTCATTATAATTTCTATTTCTCTAAATACTTTCTCCCAAAAATTATTTACATATTTACATTGCCACCACATGTGTATATATGTTCCTGGTTCTTGACACCCTCTCCAACAATTTACTGAGTTATTTTTATTCATATATGCTATTCTTACCGGTGTTAAGTACCACTTCCATATTAACTTGTAATAATTTTCTTTAACTCGTATCGATAAATTTTTTAAATGTCTTTGTCCCCATAGTTGTCGCCACTCTATTTCACTTATTTTTATCCCTAAATCCTCTTCCCAAATCTCTTTAAGGGTGCACTTTTTTGTTTTTTCATCCTTCATTTCAATTAGTATCTTATAAATTTTGCTAATTATACCTCTCAAGTTTTCGTGTTCTTCTACAGCCCTTCCCTTCTGTATTATTTGTTCGAATTGATTGAGTTGGCTTCCACTTCTATTATTTTTTTCCAGTTTATTAACCATTGTTCTAATTGTATACAATGAAACCATGACAATTTTATTTCTTTAAACTCTTCCAATATCATTTCCCTCTTCATTTCCACCTTCATCCAATCCCCTATCCTATCTAAATTTATTTCCCTTACCTTTTTATCCATTACTTTTTTTAAATTTTTTGGGAATTTCTTTTCCATCACTATTGGGGTTATAATTGATCCTTCCTTTATTAACCTCCCCTTATATTTATTCCATACTTTCAGTATGTTACTCAGCATTGGGTTTCTAATTTCCCTCATTTCTTTTCTAGTAAACTGTTTAAAAAATATATTCCAAATTTCATCTTCCACTTTTCCTGAATCATTACTAAGCCAATCTATTCCCTCTTTTTTAACCATTCCTTCTATAACCAAACTTAATCTACTTGCTTCATAATATTTTTTATATTAGGTAGTGCTAGTCCACCCTCCTTTTGCGATCTATACCAAAACTGTTTATTTAGTCTGTTTCTTTTACTTCCATTACAGTACTTATTAATCATTTGTTGCCATCTAGTTAGTTCTTCTTCTGTGATTTGAAGTGGTAGCATCCTAAATATAAAATTTATTTTTGGAAGTATTTTCATTTTTACTAATGCTATTCTTCCAAACCAGGATAAGTGTATACCTCCGTACTCTATTAACTTTTTCTGAACTTCTTTTCTTAAAGTTACTACATTTACTCCCTCTATCTCTTTTAAATCCTTAGTTATTATTACTCCCAAGTATTTTAATTTATTCTTAATTCTTATTCCCATTTTTCTCTGTTCTATAAAATCTTTTTCTTCTTCTCTTGTATAATTAAATAGCATCATTTCTGACTTGTTCCAATTAATTTGTAAACCCGTTGCTTTCCCAAATATCTCCAGATGTTCTTTTATTCTGTCCATTTTCTCCACTATGTTTTCTATAAATAACAATGTATCGTCAGCGAATAAGCTCACCTTCTGTTTCTCCTTTTTTCCTAACCCTTCTAAATTTTTGTCGTTCCTTATGTTATTAGCAAACAATTCTATCACCATAGCAAATAGTATCGGAGACAAAGGGCACCCTTGTCTGGTTCCTCTAGTCACTTTTATTTCGTTTGTCACTCCATCATTTATAGTTACCACTGCTGAGTTCCTTGAGTAAAATTGTTTTTCTTCATTTCAAACAAAAATCAAACTGAACTGTTGTAGACTGACATCATCTAAGATCATATGATGAATTCCAGTTTGCTTGTTGAACATCAGTTTCTTCTACCAGTAGTTGCTAAGCTCTGCAGTTTTCAGACACTGATAGGATGTCCTGCTTCTCCTGTCATGTGAGCTCTTACTGAAAGAGTAAGCTGTATAGGTTTATGCAGGTAAAAGTTCTCCTAGATCGCACATATTAAACACAAGGCTCAAGGGCCAAATCCAGCCCACCATGTCATTTTATTTGGCATACAAGGCATTCAATGCCAGGGTAATATAGTTACATTTATACAGTCTTATAATTACTAATGGCTCTTTGAAGGCAACCTCAAGATTAATGTGGCCCTCAGTGAAAATGAGTTTGACACCCCTGACCTACATAATAGTGATTATCCAAACATGCCAATTTTCAAAGCAAATTGCTTACATTCCTAAAAAACTAATTCCTTGTGCTAAGTGCCAAAAGGATAAGATTACTATATCATAAGGTTACTTCCATACAAATCATTTTTTGCAACCCTCTCTTGGCTAATCAGAGAAGCTTCAAACTTTAAAATGCACTCCTTGTTAAATGGTTTGCTTTGGGACTTCCTGTTCAGCTGCTGCCATTGCTTGTTGTGGCAGTTTGTGGAAGTACACAAAGGACCCTTCCAGACAGGCCTTTAATGAGAGACCTGTGTCGCTTTTACCGGAGACGTCCAAACACTACCTCCAGTAAAAGCAAATTAATATGGAGTAAACCAGGTTTTAAGCTACGATCCAATCTAACAGCTGTTGGCCCTGTGTGGATTGACTCTCAGGACTGCATCATGGAAATGGCATGTAAGGAGGAGGGGGATTCCTGCTTGGTTTTTCCTTATGTCTGAAATTGTCCTTAGATCCTCAGATACTTCTACTTAATTGTATCTCTACAATTTATTTTTCATGGTTTGTCTCTGGTAAGTTTTGGAGCCCAAATGGATGTTGGAAAGGGGGCTGGATGGCATCCTGGGTCAACCTTTATTCCCCTCCGAGGGGAATCCCAGGGTTTGGGTTGGGGATGGGGACACCAAACTGAGTGGAAGTGGGTTATTTTAACCTGTTTCCACTCGGTTTTTCCTTATGTCTGGAAGCGTCCTTAGATCCGCAGATACTTCTATTTATTGTATCTCTACAGCCTTGAAAAGAAAACTTGTTTTTTCATGATTTTACTTCTTAGCCAGAAACCTTCTTGCAATCTTACTCTAGCAGAATTTCAGAATTCCACTTAAAATCCTGGAGGATTTGTATGAACAGTTATAAAAGTGATGCTTCAAAAAAGGTTTTCCTGAAGTAAAGAGATGAGAATGGTTGTTTTTCTGTTTCCATCCTTCCTTCCTTTCTAGAGGTGGTATGAAGATTGGAAACTGTCTAAATGAGAGCTTTAGTGTATGGGGGCGGAAGAGGGGAAAAGAACTGTAAATACATTGAAGAGTGTGACAGGATTAAAGAGCAGCAATAAATCTTGTATTTTTAGTTCTTGCCATTCCATTTTTACACATGTAAAATTCCTTGACAGCTAAATAGAGTCAGTGTTAATTTTGAGGGGAAAGTGTCTCAGAGCGCTGTGACAAGTATTGTAAAAAGAGGACTATTTAGGACCTGTAAGTCCATACTAATTTGCGGTGGGGGAGGAGTGGGACACCATCATAAAAGATTATGCCACAATGTATATCAAGATCTTGAAAGAATTTTGGCAGGCACTTCCCCAGTATTTGGAGTCATGCTGCACGGTGACTTTGCTCCCACATGAAGATGAAGATATGTGAGAGGTTTAATCAAAGGCTAAAACTTAAGTAAACATACAGGGATCTGCAGTGAGCATTGAACTTTTCACTACGCTTGCCTTTACCCCAATGTTGTGGGCTTCCTGTCCCTTAAACCTAGAGCCAGGGGAGCACTTTTCCTCTGTCAACTTTGAAATCTTGATCAGTTGAATAACTGATGGATGCTTTTCTTTCCCTGCTCATCTGAAACGTTTTACCATGGAAGCCCCTGACAGCTCCCTCTCAATCCTGCTGGTGAGCCTTAGATGAGAGAGAGCTGCCAGAGCCTATTTTCCTTTCCAAAACTATTTTATTTTAAAGATCTCTCACAAAGTGAAGCAAGAATGTCTTTTATAGAGACATTCAGATTGCAAATTACAAACCCAAGGCTTGTAATTTGTGTTTATCTCTGTCTGTGTCTGTGTGTATGAGAGAGAGAGAGAGAGAGCGATCCCCTTTTTATTGGGAATTCCTGAAATCACTGTATTCCAGTGTTTAGTTATCATTCTGTGTTTCCTCAGACTTGATTTGTGGTATATGTTTGATACAATGTTGCTCCACCAACCTGTCCAATTTGAGCAGGCAAAGTACACATAATGGAATAAAGCTTTTTGAACAAAGTCCCTTTAAATGGAAAGCTTTTTATCTGTTTTTGCTTTTTGATTCAGCACAGCTTACTGATTAAATGACCCTTGTTCTAGTCTAGTTTATTCACTGTTTTTTGTGAGTTAAATTACTGGCTTATTCCTATTATTTGGTGTCCTCCTTTCATTACATAGAAATAATGCTATTTTGCTGTAATAGGAGGAAGAAAAAAATAATAGGAAGAAACCATTGATTTAACATTCTTCGACCACATTCTTTCATTGGGAACAAAAGCTGATTAATTAAGGGCAATTTGTCAGTATTTCTGAATAGGAAAGCAACAAAACTGAAGATAAAGACAGGAAGCTTCTGGTTAACATTAGTAAAGACCTCTGTGGAACAGTACCTACATTTGAGGAAAAATTGTAAAAGGTCCTGAGCAATCATAATCACCCCCACCTTTCCCCCAATTGAGGTCTCAAAGCAGCTTACGACAAATTAAATTGGGGAAGACCATTGTTGTACGTTCCTGTGCTTGGGCATTTCTAAAAGACTGCAGTGTGGAAGCTGAAGGGCTCTGATGTGATCACTCCTGTGATCAAGTAAGTTAGGGCTACAGCATTTAGATTGAGCAAGGTTTTCTCATTCCCAGAGATGGCACCTTGACGTTCCTGTATCATCTTAGTCATATCTGTTTTGTTCTTACGAAACCATCAGAAACAGAGTACTTCTCAAGATATTTAGGAAGTCTTTCTTTCACCACTTAGTTTGCACATCCCTTGGGTAGTTTAGGTTTCAAAGAGGATTTTTTTTTCTTTCCAAGCAAGATAAAGCACAACTACCTTCCTTCTTACTAATATAACCTTTTTTCCTATGGTGATTATTATTTTTCCACTCTATGCTATTTATTACTTATCCAATAACATTCTGCTTTTTTGAGTTCTTCTTTAAATTGCAGTAGTAGCTGTTATGAATGTTTTACTGTGTGCAGACTTTGTTCAATTTGATGAATTGCTGTAATGGCACATTATTTGTATGTGTACGGTTGAAAATAAGATACTTAGTCTGAAAGTAGTTATAGCAATATGATACTTTTGGAGGGCCCTTTGGCTTAAGTGGTCCTTTTCATTTAAATAACACAGATAGCATCCTCTAGTGCTTTTCTTGTATGTAAGGTACTACCTGTGTGCATTACAATTTTAGGGTGTACCCTAAGGGGATATTGTAGCCTCTCCCCCTCCATTCAGCATATAGCTGCGTGTTAATATTGGCCTAACAGGGATTTCTGTGTTTGCACAGTACAAACCCTTCGAGATTCTCCAAACCATTTTGTTTATAAAGAGATAGTGTCAACACACAGAAGCAGAAATATTGTTCCTTTTACCATTTGTCAGGCTGAAAGATGACTGAGGGATATTCTGAAAAAAGTAACAGGAATTGCGTACAGAATGTAACCTCACTCAACCCAGAACCATGTTCCAGTTGTTCATATAACTTTTACATTCTAAAGGCTAAAATGTAGTGATGGCAGGAAAGATACTAGAAAGAATTGGGAAATGAAAGATCCAACTGTAAATATAATATAGATTGACCTTTTAGGGTAGCATTTCATAGTTTTCTTATGCGCGTTGTATGGAGGATATAATTAAAACTGATATGATTTAGTTTTGGGTTTTTAAAAATATAATTTTGTTTCAAAAGTGTGTACATTGGCATAATTGTACAGAAAAGTACAAGGGGAAGAGAAGGCAAATATGTACATTAAAATATTCCAGCACTATAAATTTTATACTGCATTAAGATATAAAAAGTGGTGGTATGCAAATATACATTTGAATTGCTGAGATGCATTAATTTGTGCTTCTTGGAGACATTGAATACTAGTGTCAGTGCTCACAGCTTTCCCAGAAGCATATATGTATAGTACCTAGAATTCCTGCCCTGTTTTATAATGTCCAACGACAAGCAGGTTCCCGATTCTGAAAGTGGTATTTCTAAGTCTGCTTTCCTTCAAAAGTGAGTCCTAGTGGGATTCTTGCAGCCTACTTCAAAGTAAAAGTGATTGCAATCATAGAGTAATTTTATTGAGCAGACATGCTCAAATTTGCAGATTTCCAAAATTTACAACAGCATCATCAGTTGGAATTACATGTTTGTAACTTGGTTGTTTGGCTATAGTTGCAATAACATCTCAAGCTGATTTAATACTACTATAACTTAACTATTATTACATGTTACTGTTCAATAGATAGAAAAATTACAATGACTTTCATTTTTGTTACTTTTTTCTTTTTCGGGTTTTGGCTGGGCAGCAAACTTGCAAAGAAACGTAAGGACGCAATGGGAAACACTAGACAAGAAATGACCCACATGGTAAATGCAATGGATAGAAGTTATGCTGATCAGAGCACCCTGCATGCAGAGGATCCCCTCTCCGTCACCTTTATGGACTCCCACAACTTTAGCCCCAGATGTAAGTACAATAATAGCAAAGCTTCATGTGTTTATTGTGATGATGAGGAAACTATGTCCTATCTACAAGTTGACAAACTCTGTAATGGCTGACCATTGGTGTTTATGCTGTCCAGATCTCATGGTAAATGAAACTCGACAAGATCTGAGGTCTACAGGTTTCACATCTCTGCCTGATGCTGGCAGCTATTTTACTTCTGCTTGTAGTGAATGCAAATGGCATTTACATTCATTTTGCACACACTAATAAGTCTTAAATTGCCTCAATTATATAACCTTTGTGTTATTAATAAGCAATAATTTTCAGGCCATTATACAGAGAAATTTGAAAGATATGTAGAGTGCCAAGAAAAATGTAACACATGCTGATTTTTTTTTCTGATTGATTTTTTTATTCCAGAGTTGCTATTGTGGGGGTTTCTTTTCAATGTAGATGGGAAAAATTATGTTTGACTGATGTGTACCATGGTCCAAATATGAAAAATATTGAGAAGCTAACTCTAGAAATGTAATGCTTTAATAAGATCTGTTAGAAAATCACTTGTCAAGAGGAACTTGGAGGGAAAGAAATGCCTAAACAGCAAGCAACTCTTATACCTGTCATTTCTCTGTGGGAAATGTAGGTTCTTATGAGATTTCATTTATGTCACTGCCAATTAATTTCTTCAAGAATTCATTATTTATTAGATGTTAGAATGGAGTGTATTAGTCTCTAAGAAAAAGAAAAGAGTGGGAGAATCCAGGGAAGACTAATTGAATCAATGGGTTTCACATAAATGTTGACTCCTTTTCAGCATATTTAGCAATTGATTCATTTGGTCTATTCCAATTGAAACTGTAAATTTAATGTAGATCAGAATTATTTCATTAGGTCCTTAGGCCTAGAGATTGCTAAAAACTTGTGTTTCACTTAGATTGTTCCTTGGTAGAAATTGGCGAGGCTGCAAACTTTCACCTTTCTCCCTAGCCTGGTTCATTCCACTATTTTCCAGTTATAACTGATATATAGCAGGCAAGGTAGTTCAGTTCTAAAGGAAAGCAGTCATGTGTCAATATATGTCTTTTTTCTCTCTACCAAAATATAAATGTGTTGGTCAACACAAATTCTTCCTGTGACTTTGGTCCCAACTATGCTGCCATATAATGTTGTTTGAAACTGCATATTATTGTCAGTTACCAGTGTTTCTCAACCTGTGGTCCCCAGGTGTTTGGCCTACAACTCCCAGAAATCCCAGCCAGTTTACCAGCTGTTAGGATTTCTGGAAGTTGAAGGCCAAAATATCTGGGGACCCACAGGTTGAGAACCACTGGTATAGACTTACATAATGCAGTTTAACTGCACTGAACTTCATTATATGGGTTTACGTTGACCATATAAAGCAGTTTCAAACTCCTTATATCGCAGTGTAGATGTGGGCAGAATTATATGGCAGAATAAGTGTCTAAATCCTTGTAGTGGAATTTGTGTCTGTGATGACCACATAGATAGGATGTCGAATGAATCCAAACTTTCCAATAAACCCATTAAACTTATTCTGAAATGGCATGAATTCAACAAAAGGCAGGTAAATTTTTCAAGTGGAATTACAGGCTAAGAAAATATATTTCACCTCTTTTTCTTGGAAACCTTTACCTACTTCCTGGTTGTTGATGGGGAAAAGGGAACTATATGGCATTTCCATCTCACCACCATAATTATCTTGTAATTTTTTCTCCACTCACATAAAGAACTATTGCACTCCCTGATAATTAGCCTTGAGTAGTTTTTGTCCTCAAATTGACAGAAAGGCAACACAGCACAGTTTTAAAAAAACCACACACACACACACACATTTGGCTTCTTTCCCGGGAAGCTACTTCCCACCTAACCTTTAGTAGTAGTCTTTTGGGGCTGAATAGGATTTTTTACAGTGCCTTGGTTAACTTATGGAAAAGGGTTTTTACCCGTTCCTTGCTGTATTCGATTAATATCCCCAATAATTAGTATTTGAAATTATTTGCTGTTTTGTCACAACTGGTGGGGTGTGAATATTCATTTCCCTAATTTGTGTCTAGGAGGTTCTCCCAGAGGCACTGAAAGGTGCAGGAGACTGGCCTATAATCCACAAAATGCAGTCTGGCTCAAGTGCCAAAGAAGGTGGTTCCTTGACCCAGGGTTGAATCCACCTCAACAGTGCCAACTGGTGCCATTTAGGAGGATCACTTATGTCACTACTTTCCCTTTATGGGGAAGATGAAGAATTATTGGGAAATTCCTCAGGTCTCATTGCTGAGGATTCTTTTACTCGGGGAGGCTTGGCTCATTTTTTGCTAATCAAATTGTTAATAAAGTTGTGGGCATTTTCATTGTGGTGCTGAATTTTCATTCTTAGTGAGAGGACAAATCACTCCTTAGTTTCTTTGGATGGAGGAATGACATATCAAGAGTAAGCTACCACCTCAATAGGTTCTTTTAAAAAAAGGTTTAGTTTTCATCTTCATCCTTGAATTTCTCCCCTCTACTTCTTACCATCAGATCTGTGCTAACCCAAACACATCACATTGCACAGCAAGGGCTATTTCAAAAGGCTTGTGAGAGCTTTGGCAGCCAAATCAGTTGTCCCACACAGTTTTTTTCCTGGCGTAGGGTGTGCAAAGCCTATGTCAACCAGAAAATATAACTTTTTTCTTCTTCTTGGAGGCTTAAAAAGCTCACTGTTCCTTATGATCCCAGAAGGAGCTATTTTCAAAGTCTGACTTGGGAGCACTTTGCCAGCATCTCTAATAGGAACTGATACACATATTCCTAATCTATGATGCAGTTTAATACTTTACTGCTAAAGAGTACAGTGCCCACTTGTTGATTTAAGTGCTTGTGATGTTCCATTTTCTTTTATTAAGGAATTTGCCGATCACCATCTCCATTTAATACAGCTGCACTCTAGCTTCCACGTGTACTTTCAAATGAGTACATTTTAGCTGTGCCCTGTTGCAGACACAGGATGTGTTTATGAGAGCAGCAATTGCTTCCTAGTGGTTTAATTAGCCTATGGCAGCTGCACTAGCAAGGCTACCTGAGATTTTATGCTGTGGCTCTCAAGCAGTAAAAGGCTTAGGCCCCATCTACATGGCCATATACAATTCAGGTTATCTATATTTCATTTGTGTGACTTTAAAAAAGTCTTTGTTCATATTTGTTAAAAAGGAATTATACACCAGTTGAAGGGTAATATATGTCTTCATGAGCTTTGTTTTCCTACAGTGCCTAATGATCCACTCGTGCCGACTGCTGTGTTAGGTGAGGACCTGGTCCTTCAAACTCTCTTTGCCAGTTTCATCTCTTTCATGGTTTATCATTCTTGTCAACAGATTTATTTATTGTGTCTCAAAACAGCTTGCATCAGATTAAATAGATATGCCTGTTGTTAGAATATTCAGGTGTTTGAACTTCAATATTCTGTATTCAGTACCACATTCAGCTCTATAGCATCAAATGTTTGCTGTGAGTTCCCTCTCTTCCTGAGTTTGGTGTTTTTCACAGCTTAGTAGACAATGGTTCTGAGGACCTTTTTGTTTTTAAGTGGAATTCATTCTGCCTAAAAACACTGTTGAAGTCCCATAACTAGCCTGTTTTGGCTGTGTGATTGTGTCACATTGTTCCTCTACAGAACAGGGTCTGTGTTAACACTGTGGTGATATTGATGCCATTACACTCTCTGCCAAAAGCATAAATCCATTTGAACAATTTAAAAATATAAAATTAAAAATTGTCCAAAATACATTACAATATATTGTTTTCAACTGGTTTATAATGAAACCAGTTTAAAATCACTTGTGTGTACAAATTAGATAACATCATCTGACCTCAAATGTTATAACAAAATAAACTAAAAGCAATGCTTAACTTGTTGGTGGTGTGAAGCCAGTGTTGTCTTCCAACAGAGAAGCCCCTTCCCAAGCCTTTCTGCAGTGTATTGTCCCCACTGGTGAAACACAGAGGAGGATCCCTCTAATGGGTTTTAATTCTTTGAAGAGAGAAATTTCTTTAAGAATCTAGGCATTTAGGGGTTTAAATGCCATCACAAGCACATTGAATTCAGAGCAGAAGTGCATTGACATACATCATAAATCCTTTTAAGATCAATTATTTAAGACCAGTTAACAATCTGGTTTTTGTGTTTTGTACCAGTGCCAGGTTACCAGTCATCTTCAATGATAGCCCCATTTAAAACACACCCTAGCCATCTATTGAAAAGTTAAGTGGTACATGTCCACTATCGCTGGTGGACCAGTCACCCTTTTACCACAAACCACAGAGTGCACTTGGGATTCCATGACAGAAATAGAACTAGGAGTACTTAAGTGTAATTAGTGGCTACCACAAACTGTGCTGCCTTCCTAGTAGTATACCATCACTTATCTGTTTACCCTCCTTGCAAAACTTATCAATCACTGCTTTAACTGGAAGCACCACTGGATTCCCAGATCTAACCCATTGCTATGGGGTCAAGTGTAGTCAACAGCACTGGGATGTATCTTCCATCACAAAAAAGACAGTCCATAAAGATATCATATTTGGTAACATCAAAAGCTATTGAAAGCCAGTAAAAATTATGTTACTCCCACATTTTTTCCAAATTTTGATTATCTAGCAGTGTAACAAAAGTCATTTTCTAACAAACTACTATTAGGAACCATAGTGAAATAGGTGAAGGTTAAAAGATATCTTGATGTATGCTCCAGTAGGTTCCTTTGAGCTCAGAAGTGACACCATGCTCCAGCTTATAATTGTAAAACACCTAACAAACATACATTTCTATATACAAATCTCAGCATACTTAATAAGTCCTTTACCATCATGTTAGCTTTCTCATGATCTGGAGAGATATTTTTAGAAGAGGAGTAAGGTTTGAGCATATCTAGAGGAACTTCTGATATTTATCTATCGCTCCTCCCCATCACTCTCTGTGAAAATTGGACTCTAATGTCTCTGTCCACACTGATTTTTGAAGGATCTTTGGTCTTTAAAATATGACATGTGGAACATCCAATACATGTATCCAACTGTCTTTTAAGTGTATTGAACTAAATATACTTACTTAATTCAATTCATGCTGCATTTTCTCTATAAAGAATTGAAGTCAACATACATATTTCACACACAAAGCAACATATCACACAAACTTGCACATCCTTGCAAGTAGGCTTCTGTAGATTAACTTGTGAGAGTGCAACTGGTGTAGTATCAAGCAATAGTCTTCATCATTACCTATCCCTAAATCTAAACTGATGCTATGCTCACTGCCTTGAAATTGTTCTGACACCCACATAGGTGCCATGGCATCTTCTGTCTGTATCAGATGTCCCAATCTTTTCAGCTATTTAATAATGAAGTAATTACAATCTTAAATTACAAATGTAATCTCTGAACAATCAGTAAGATTGAATTCACTTGATTGGGTGTTGCTTTCCTAATCCTTTTCATCAAAAAGCTCCTAATCCCACATTGTCACTAAACAAGTATATTTGATGTGACATTACAGCTATCAAAACCTCCAACTTGGTTAGGTGAAACAAATCTCTTGACATGCAAAGGTTAATCTGTTAGAACTTTAGTGAGACAGGCAGCTGTGAAGAGCAACTCCAGGGCAAAAACTGAAAGATGGCCTGGCAGTTTTTGCATGTTTTCGCATCAGAGTGTTGTTTTTGTTTGTCCCTCATTGACAATTTGATATTATTTGTGTGAGGAGAAAGGCCTTAGCTAGAGTTCATGGGAACTTACATTTGTATTAGATATTGGATAAGGTTGCTCATTTTTCATTTTTGGTTTTTCATTTTTCATTTCAGTCCATTAAATATATGCAGCCACAAATAGTCTATCACGTTTTTATTTTGCATTCAGAGTTTGTGTATGTTGTATAATTTGAAGTGTTCACACGTATGAGCATGTAAGAAGTAAAAATGCTATATGTAAAGCAGAAGCTACTTTAGTTACTACCCTTACGATTTTTTTCAACTTGATGTAGTGCTGTGCATATTTTAATATTTTGCTACTGGTTTCAAGTATCTCTGATGTTTTATTTCTTTTTTATGCATCAATTGGTCACAGTCCCTATAACTGGTAAGTATCTGAGGAGATAATGTTTAAGATTAGAGTTAAGCTTGAGTAGGACATTTTTGGTAATTAACATAGTGAACAAGAAATTAAATGCAGGTCAAGAATCCATTATCTGGAATTCTGGAGTTTGAAATACTCCAAAATCCAAAATTGTTCGCATGGGTGGCTGAGATGGTGACACCTTTACTTTCTGGTGGTTCCATGCTCAACATTATCAAAAATGTATAAAGTTATCTTCAGGCTATGTGTATAAGATTCTGTATATATGGAACATAACTGAATTTCTGGTTTAGACTTGAGTCTTAAAGAATCATAGACTCATAAGAGTGGGAAGAGACCACAAGGGCCATCCAGTCCAGCCCCCTGCATGACATCTCATTATATGCAAATACAGATATTTTAGAAATTCCAGAATCTGAAATACTTCCATAATAATAAAAGCCATAATAATTGGCTTTTGAGTCAATTCACACCACTCTTGGACTAGTTTGAGTTATTACATGTGGAATTCCATTATGAACAGTGATGGGCAAGTGTGGAATGCTAGGGGACACCACTGGTCCCTCAGGAGGCCTTGAAGGGCTGCACCTACCACCACAAAATTCTAAAAAGTTTTTTTCCCTTGAGATGCCTTCTAGGGGGCAAGGGCATTTCTATACACTTTCTTGCCTCCCTGGACAATTTTAGGTCCAAGAGAGACCTTTCTTTAACATGGAAGTAAGCAGACATAACTTCCTGTTTTAGGAAACAGATATTGCTTCCTGTAAATAAATAGAAACGGCCACGCAAAGATCTATATTGATCAAGGGATCACCAAAACATGGGAGAAAATGCATCCCATGCCACTACTTTTAAATAAAAAATGTTTTTTGACTTTTAAAGGTGTTAGTGGACCTCTGAACATGGTAGAATTGCACTCCAAAAATGGTGGAAAGATACCATGATGGAAACACGCTGCAAAGGCCCTTTAGGAACAAAATTAGCCAGAAAAACAGTCTTAGGGCTAAACTTTGCCTATCTCTGAACTAAATAATCACACATCACTTACTAATATTAAAAGAAAATATCACACACTATTATTATTCTGATCAGATATCTCTGAGCTGTCTAGAGGCACTCTCATAGGATCTCATCCCATAATATAGCTTTCGCTTAAACGTTCCTGTGTTAGCATTGTAGCTGAACCATATAACTAAAAGCTAAAACATCTGTCCCACCTTTAAAGATTAATAAGTTTTGACGTAAACCTTACTGCCCACTTTATGTGATGCAACCAAGTGACAGTGGCCCAATTGACACTGCTATTATAATGCAGATTGCTTTAGATCCAAATAGATAGTGGTTGTCTTAGATGTGACATGTCTTGCTCATATTTTTTCAAAACTCGGATGGTTTAAACAGTGGGGTTATTTACCATAACAAAATAGCTCTTCTCTCCTGTATCAATTTGACTGATATTTATTGGAATTTGATCTTGGTGTTGTATTTTGAAATGAGACCAATCATAATGCTGTTGCCACTTATACTTCTGCTTGCATGGAACAAATAAGAATGAAGTGCTACATAAACATAAGCTAGGAATAAAATCTTACTGTTTTCTTTTTCACAGTCTTTTGAATTTCTCCCACACATACCATAAGAACATCTGGATTTCTCCATTTAAATGTATTGGCTGGGGCAACTATGTCTAACAAACAAAGATAGTGTTCTATCATGACTGACAGCTAGATTCTAATATTCACTCTGAAGCTACAGCACCCAGCTGATTAAATTTAAACATGTATCTGTCTCCGTAGGACTGTGTTTCTATTGATGTAAAAGAAGTTGAAGTGTTTGAAAAGTGACATATGGTGGTTCTTTAGCTGTGTTTGAACATTTAATCCTAATGCGTGAGAGCTGCAGTAGTTGTATCATATTCTGTATATAATACTGTGCTCATAACGTGGGTTGTATCGGGGCAGGGGACCATTGTTTTACATTAAAATAGAGTTGCCAGAGTATATTCCTATATACACAAAAAGTGGGGAATTGAAGACCTCTCCAAAGACTGGCTTAACAAGATGCATTCACATAGAACAAACTGCAAAATTGGATTTGGTGGATAAGATCAAGATCCATGTACCTTCCTTTCAGTTGCTGACCAGATAACACTGGATGCACCTCTACCTCTGGAAACATAAAAATGCTGACCTCTTTGGGCCATCTTTTCCCAAATGCACATATTTTTAAGAAATACATTTTGAGCCTGTTCTTGGCCAACTGAATCACCCTGTAGACTCTTTCTTACAGAAGTTGCTTAATTTTGTGCCTTATGCCTGCTGTTTTCTCATAGTTGATGTTTACGTATAATGGCTTGTTGCATAGAGTGGTCAATTTTTACCACAAATCCCAGAAGGTTCATGAATAGCCCCCATGCTGCTGCAGCCATAAATTGTATAACAGCCTTAGGTCCAAACAGAACTAGATAACTGTGCTGGAAGCTCTTCCTCTCATCTCATGCTTAAGGGTAGGCATTTCAGAGAGAGTACATTTTGAGCTTATAGCATGTTTAGAGGCCATCGAGGAAGCCAATCAACTCTAAAACCCATAAATAATGGATAAGGAATATTACATATTCAGTACGTAGTCAAGGGCACATAGAAGTTGAAGTGAAATTGTCAGCAACCTTCAGGACCATCAAACTTGAACAAACCTTTGAGGGTTGAGTTTCTATTTGACTACAGGAGGCTAACTGAAACTATCAGCAGATACTTTGCTTATTTGAAATCGAATGCTAGATTTAAGCTTTCTTACAGTGTATTTTCAAACTCAGTATTTTGTAAATATAATATTACTTACTGCTTTTGTGTTGTTATTGAATTAAATATAACAAGATCCAAAAACTTTGCAAAGTGTTGCAACAAGCCACAATGAAAATTGGCCTGTACCCCATGTAATGTAAGTTTCACTTTTACTGAACATTGCTTTGTTCTCTGGGATCTTTTAACCGCAGATGAAAACCACAGTGCAACAGCAGAGTCAAGTCGGCTGTTAGATGTGCCTCGCTATCTCTGTGAAGGAACAGAGTCCCCATACCAGACAGGCCAACTACATCCTGCTATCCGAGTTGCTGACTTGCTGCAGCACATTAACCTCATGAAAACATCTGACAGCTATGGTTTTAAAGAAGAGTATGAGGTAAAAAATGTTAGCAGAAGCTCTTTTTCAGTGGCTTATGAGGTAGAAGCCCTGTGAGAGTACAGCTTCTTGTTTGCAAAGAGAGTTCTTAATTACAAGAAGATTAAAATGAATGTTTAATAGGATTAAATGTTTAAAATACCACTTCTCGGTGAGCCATGAATCAGTGAAGGAATCCAGAAGAGTACTGATAAGTGCCATTGCTTTTAGCACTGTGTTATAAACATGGGCTGGAGAGAGTGTGCCATTGTATCGCTGACTGCCTGGTGATTGCAGTTGCCTTTCCGGGACCATGTTTGCCTTGTTGGATATATTCCCACTTCTGGAACAAAATTTCTTTATCCACACTTTAAAAGATTCTTCTAAGGGGGTTCCTGTTCATGAATTAGGACATATTTAGAATTTTAACAACTCCCTTTACCCATAGTGATAGAATTCAAAAATATAGTTGTGATAGTCTGTATCAGTATGCAAAAGGGTCAGTGGTATAAATTTTGATGAAGTAGACTTCAGACTAGGAAAGCTTATGCTACAACCTATTTCAGTCACAATAATAATAATAATAATTTATATTCTGCTCGATGTCCCCAAAGGGACTCAGGGTAGATTCCATTTCAATGCTTCACCCAGCCCACATATAGCCTCTTTTATTGTGTTCCATGGCAGTGCTTCCCAGCTTTTGCTTTGGACTTCTGTTCCCAGAATTCCTGACTGTCAATTAACTTCTAGGAAGTCAAAAACATCTGGAGGAACAATTGTGAATCACTATACCATGGGGAAAAATGGATGCCCAATTAGATAGCCTTGATATCACCCAGTAGGACCAAATGTTGATGAATTAGGTTTTTTTAGTGATGCCTTCATAAGCATGGTGTGCAAGATCTGATCTTGTATCTATTTTAAAAATGCATTGTAGTGGATGCATTATAGCCTGGTCAAAGGTGGATGGCAACCTTCAGCTAGTTTAATTGTATCCTGCTAAGTATGTCTGTGAAATTAATTATCACTCTGAATCTATGGTCTTAGCCTAGTTTTGTAGCTACTTCTATAAAAAGAAATAATGAGGAATACTTCTGTTACCTTCAACTTCCGATCTGTTAATTTCCCCCTTTCATCCATATAGTGATTTTTTTTGGTTTAGTTTGTCTCCCAGGAAGAGGATACACGAGGATGATTACTACAGTATGTGTGGTCTAAAAACATAAATTATATTAGTAGTTTTTTTATCTGTCTCCAGGCTTCTGTTCTAAAGCATACTCCTTTCCTGTAAAACCACACTGGGGAAAAATATTCACCAGTAGAAATACTTGATAGAAAGTCACTTTGTCCCATTAGCAGAAACCTGTTGCATCAATTCAAAAATATTAACTTTGATTTTACCACACAACATGTAACTGTTAAGTGTTTTCTTTGGTTATTTACCTGTTTCAAATTTAACAACCATTGTTTTTGAATTGTTTATAATACATCTCGTCAGTACATGTTTCTCTATGTTTTTGGACCAAAAGCAACAGGTGGCAGGTTTATTTTCTGAGTTGCTTCTATTCCTTTCAGAAGCTATTTTTGCAAATCAATTTCCAGTAAGAATAGAATTTTCCTTTCTTTACTTTATATTCAGGGGAAACATATTAGTATTCTAGATGTTTCAAAAAGTGTTATTTCTTTTCCTTTCTTTTTTAAAGAGCTTCTTTGAAGGACAGTCAGCTTCTTGGGATGTAGCAAAAAAGGATCAAAACAGAACAAAGAACAGATATGGAAACATTATAGCATGTAAGTCACACTTTAGCCTGGTCATGTTTAATTATGTGTTTAAATAGATTTATGCATTTGGTGCCTTTCTTCCAGTAGTCTGAATCAGTTTACCACTTTAATTATGCATTTTATTGTATGAAGTAGGATGAAAAAGACAACTGACCCAAGTGATTTCAGCTATTTTTCTTAATTCTAGTCCACCTGTTTAGCCATTACGTCAACTTGCTTAGTATGTTTGTATTTTGTAAAATATTTAAAAATTCAGATCAAAATGCTTTTCATTTGTTCAGTCATTTCAATCATCTATTCTAAGTCATGTAAAATGCCCAGTTTCTGACATCTTATTTCTTCATAATGCCAGTCCTGTTATCATATTATTTTAAACTCATAAACCTCAGACAAGGAAAAAAACGGTTGAAAATTGTTTAAATATTAATTAATTCTAGCAAAATGTAGACATTGTGCTTGCAAAAAGTACAGCGTGACCAAAGAGCATGCTTGTTAATTCAGATCATTTGTTATTTCCTTTGCATGAGCAGATAAATCATACATTTATCGTAGTGGTCTAAATAAACCAGGGTTTTAGCATTGGTTTATTGCCTTGGTTTATTGCCTTGTTTGGGCAATTGCCCTTGTTTTTACCCCCGTTTGTTTGTTGTTTAATTTTTAATGTTATTTATTTTTATTTATGACAATAAATTTATGTTAGTTATTTTTATTTATGACAATAAGTCACAATCTAACATCCTCCTTTTACCCCACTTCCCTTTTCCTTGTTTGTTTACTTATTGAATAAAAGGGCTGTATGTGTGGCAATGCTGCTCAGTACCATCATCCTGGTTTAACATAACATATGAATACTGCTTCAATGTCAAAGGGTTTATCTGAAAACCTGTTCCCTTCCTTTTCTTTAGTTTTTGATTTCAATTGACATTGTATTATATTTCTTTTGTTTTGCTATATCATATCTTAATTTTGTTGTCCATTTGATAAATTCCATCACAGTAATTAGAATCCTGGTAGGTTCTCCCCATTAAAATATTTAATACTTAAGACCAAGCACAAACAAATTTTGATTGTAACCACAGAGTGAGAATGGCACAATGATAAAGGCTGAGATGTAGACGTTCAATGATTTTTTGTGGTACAAATAGTATGTTTTCCATTGTACATATCATTGTTTTTCACAGTCTCAATATCTTAGTGACAATTGTGGCCCGATCCTAAACTCTGTGCTCAAAGCCCAATTCTCATGTTATCTTTAGTATCTATCAAGGTGCAGACTTCTGCACATACAACAAAGCTTTCCCTCTTCTCATACTTTTCCTCCTAGATGTTTTGAAGGGTTTTTTCTCCCTCACTTTATGAGAAAAATTGGGGGATAGGGCACTGGAAGCTACAGGAGGAGGAAGGAATAAGCCATTTAATTTCACTGACAGAAACGTTCTGCAATGGCAGAACATTGGATGGATTTCACCTCATGTGTTCCTTATAACTGCCTTTCCCTGCACCCTGGAATTACTGAGGGCTCAATCTGACCAGCTGCCAATAATTAACATTTGATCTGTGACCATTTCAAACCACTCTGTACATGCACCAAGTCCTGCAAGCCATCTGAGATGAGTCACCCAACAGAAGGAAGAATCCTTACCATCGCAAATCCACTTAACTGTGGAAGCATTAGAAGATTTCTCATAGGGGAGGCTGCTGTGGAGCAGAAGGTTGCTACACAGTGAGGCAACTGTCACAGGAAGTTAATTAAAAGTGTGACTACACCGTGGTACCAACATTTGTTAATACAACAAAAATTATGCATGCCTATTTGTCATTATACGTATATATTGCTAAGATGTGTGTGTGTGTGATGCTCACCGTGGTTCTGCCCCTTTACTGGTATAAAAGCATTTTGCTTTTGTTAATGTGAAATTAATCCTAATTTATTCAATTAAAATGTTGTTGCTCTTGCTTTCTTGTGGTTGCTTGACTTTTCCATTGTAACACAGGATTTCATTGTTTACAGATGATCACTCCAGGGTGATATTACAACCTGTTGAAGATGATCCTTCTTCAGACTACATCAATGCTAATTACATTGACGTAAGTAAATTGGGTAGCTTGCTTCTTTCCCTTCCAGCTTCTCTCTGTGAAACTTTTCTGCATGCAATTCCTATGAATTGAATGACAGCTTTTTTTTCCTTTAATTAAGAACAAAATGTACACTTTTCCTTGTTCTCCGTCCTAGTACTCACTGACATTGTTGTGCTTTCTTTCACATCTGACTTTGATTTGGGCTGTAGATTTGGCTGTACAGGGATGTAAGTACCACTATATGTGAATAACAGCATCCTGTTATGACTATTTAATATAGCAAACATTCTCAGTTGCGTTACTCTTCTATTTTTTATTACTAGATATATGTGCATGCCTCATTGAATTAACCCCATTTATATATCTGGTCTTTTCTATGTTCTTTTGTGCTAATAATTTATGTTTGTACCTGTACTTTAAAAGTTAGCCTAGTCCTTGAGTGCAGTCATGAAAACCATTAACTAAACTAGCTGAACTCTATTCATTTAAGAAAAATCACATTTTGCTTGAATATTATTTTGCTCTGCTTTGGTTAGTAGCTTTTATTTTGCATTCCATTTTCATGTGAGAAGCTGGATACTATGATGTATAGTGTTGTTCTGGGAAAGAGACTTGCTTATGATATGGAAAGAGCCTTTGTTGGGGAAAGTGGAATTGTCTCCTTTTGTGAAATGGAGCAGGTCTAACTACAGAACATATATTTCCGTACTTTTTCATTCAATTCATAATTGAATATTATGTGTAGTATATACACAAACATATATATTTTCTGACTTCCATCATAGATTTATCTGTAGCCATGTAATTGACATGTTTTGGACAATTAGGATGTGCATTTGTTGAATAAAAAGAAATTAATAGATAATAGAAAATTGAATTTAAAGATTTTACTGAAGATAATGAAATCTGGTTGTTAGGCAAACATAAAATAGCTCAAATGAACATAAGGCCAGAAAATACAGTATGTCTTATTTTCAAACTCTATGTATATTCATTGGCCATGTTTGGATGTGACAATAAACTGAGCATTGCTGAGAAAAGGAGTGTGAAGGGTGGGCTGGCCACATTTCTTGGCCACTCCCTTTTACAGCTGAAGTGACTAAACCATATGATTTCTTGCATTGTTTGAGTCTAGAAGTATCTGGTGCTCCAGTTTAGTGGGACAAAGAATCAAGACAAGTTCAGCCAATGCAATAAATAACCATTAACTGAACATGCGTCTTTGGGTTGTTTAGCCAATTACTACTGCAAACAAGTGGTATTGACTGCAGTTCCCTGGGCTTGTTCTTGTGTCCAAATATGTATTAAGAGGATGGAGAGATAAATATAATTATTGTAGCACACATTTAAAATATGTATAGTACTAATCAGTCAGTTGATGAGTAAGCTTGTAAAATATTATTGTTCACTCAGTTGTAATTCATGGAATTTGTTACAAGGACAGAATAGATCCTGCAGCATTTAAGACAGATCCAGCCACAATTTTAATAGGAATATCACAGAAAGATTCCTGATAATTAGAATAAACTGGATGTGTTTAGTCACTGGCATACTAGTTAGAAAATAAAATTTCAGAACATTAAGGCCATTTGTTAATTTAGCACTACTTGTAGTATCAAGTGTTTCTTGGGAGAATAATTAATCATCATTAGTGACCATTCAGTTTCAACTGCTGTGGGAAATTATTGCCTGTCTCTTTGGATGCTTGTGTTGTGCATCAGTCTCAAAATAGCATACCTCACCTGCTCAAGCACCAAAAACATTACACTGTATGAATGAAGAGGATAGTTTTGATATCTCCCCAAAGTGAATTTCATGTACATCACACAGCTTATAAGTCATGCCATTTCAAACATCTCCTCTAAATTTGGTGAAAATCAATTCAACCATTTATGCATAATGCAGTAACAGTCAGACAAACTTTATTTCCAAAGTTTCAATAGTAATTTTTGAACTACGCTTATTGAAACCTTTCAAGGGATGTGCCAGTTATTGTGTATTAATGAAAAAGAAATACCCACAGACACATAAAGTGTTTTTTCTGTTTCATATGGGCAGGATTTTAATTAAGACCATTCAATGAAACCCTTAAATGTGGTAATAATGGGGAATTCTGAGCTCCCTAGTGATGTGGTCTACAGCCCTTAGTCTGCATTGTAAATCAACCATCTGAGATATGTCCTCCCAATTTAATGAAAATTAATGTAGCCATTTCTTCATGATGTAGTAACGAACTTAAAAATAAAAATGAAATTAATTTCATTTGTATGATTTTTTTAGCAACAAATAAATCCAAGTATTAATCTCAACCAGAGTAAATGGACTGGATTTACACATATGCCAACTTTCATTCAGTGATTTTACAGTAGGTGGGAATAGCAGTTGGATTTACGAGATTGTCTTTTAGTGTTTCACAGGACAACCTAAGTGTAATTAACTGGATTTTTCAGAGAAAAAATATGCAGCTTTCTTCCTTCGGGTTTTTTTTAAGTATGAGCATAATCCAAACTGGGGAATTGTCAATAAATGTGTTGTTCATAACTGACAATTGCAGTTATGAATGAATAACAGAGTTATGCATCTTTAATTGAATTGTAATCACAGCCCCTAAATAATAATAATAATAATAATAATAATAATAATAATAATAATAATAATAAACTTTATTTATACCCCGCTCCATCTCCCCCAAGGGGAATTGGCATGGCTTACATGAGGCCACGCCCATCAATACAATACAATATAACACAAAAACATAATAAAACCAAACAAAAATACAAAAAAATGCAAAAACAAAATAATATACAACACAACAATATAAAATCAAGTATTAAAAACACAGAAGATTTCACTGGGCAGGACCAGACACAGGGATAAAAATTTTAAAAACACTGGGAGATAGGACAGTGTAAATTGTAAGGAGGGGGACCCGGGAATGAGGAAGGATTTCATTGCACAAACCATAAAATAAAGTGCTTCTAAGGACATTTTGTGCAAAATGTGGTCAGGGAGTGACTTACATTCAGTCACTGAAGGCACATTGGAATAGCCAAGTTTTCAGATTCCTCCTGAAGATTGCCAGTGTGGGGGCTTATCTAATATCTCTGGGGAGTGAGTTCCAGAACCAGGGGGCCACCACAGAGAAGGCACTCTCTCTCGTCCCCCTAAGTTGCACTTGTGATGTGGGCGGGAGCGAAAGAACGGCCTCTCCGGAAGATCGAAGAGATCATGTGAGTTCGTAGGTGGAAATACGGTTGCGCAGGTAGGAGGGTCCCAAACCATTCAGGGCTTTGTAGGTCAAGACCTGTACCTTGAATTGGGCCCGGTAGGTGAACAGCAGCCAGTGGAGCTCTTTAAACAGGAGGGTTGACCACTCTCTGTAATTCACACCAGTTAATAGTCTGGCTGCCGCATGTTGGACCAATTGAAGCTTCCAGGCCGTCTTCAAGGGCAGCCCCACATAGAGCGCATTGCAATAGTCCAATCTAGAGGTAACTAAGGCTTGGACCACCGTGGCCAAATCCGACTTCACGAAGTATGGTCGTGTGGGCAATATAGGGAATCATAAAAGTCCCCCAGTCCTGACTAATCACTGCCAGTGGCAAGGGACTGTTCTTCTCTCAATTGTGATAAAATCCCAATTTCCATCTCCTGCAAGTAATCCTTGATAAAAGGAGGAATTGCAACAGGGAAGTTGCTTCTGGCTGTTGCATCAGAAATTGCTGGTGAGGAGAAAAAACGTTCTGCATATTCTGCAGTAGCTGCTTTCTGTAAGTCAGGAGTGGGGGGCAGGTAGAAAAACACTAAGTAATTAGGCTATTTAAGTAACTGGTCTAACATTTAGTTATAATTTATAATTCCAGTTGTCCTCTTCACAGGTTGGAGATCTCAAATTTTCCTGGGAAATTATTGCTTACTTTCCACAGCCTTTTAAAAAATTACTAGTAAACACCATGATGAAATAACTATCATAGGATCCAGTTATCTGGAGTTCATGTTCTAACAAATTAATAGTTAATAGTGTTTAAAGAAATCAAGTTATACCCTGTATTCCAAAAATGGTATCATACAGAAAATTGAGTAGTACTGTGTGTACACACATACACACCTGTCTTTATATAAAATGTTATAAACACTCACCATTTGGTTTGATTTTACAATTGGGAGGGGGTAAGAGGGATGTTTGTAATTGCACACAATATTTATGGAATATTGCATGTAGTTCTTAACACTCTGCACACATACACATTGTCCAGCTCTAACATTCAGCTGTTCTGCTTATTATTTATGGCTCTAATATTTTTTTTCTGCATTCTCAAGTGAAAGTTAGTTTTTGCTCATGAAATTGCATTGTTTTGCAGATTTTTTATGCAGCAAATAGACTATTTCCATTTTTAAAAGTGAAGGCAAAGCATATAGTTATTAATCTACACGGGAACAAAACTGAAATTAAAGTAATATTAACAGCAACTGATTTCACACAAGACACACATTATGCTCAGATCTAATGATCGTGATTAAAATACACATTGTATTGGCTTGTATAAAATTTTTATCCAGTTGCAACTATATTCACTGCAAAATACAACCAGTTGAAATCAATTGAACTTCATTCCAATTCCAACATTGTTCTTGAGGTTCTCTGAATGATTGAAGCTAAGCAGCTGAATATAGTTGACTGGATTAGCCTTTACAGCTACTACTAGCCTCTCTTTTGGAAAAATAAACTATGTACAAATACCTTTGTATGCCTTCATTTTCCTTACTTGGATTTATTTTTAAACTAGTAATGCAATGTAAAAAAAAATAAACTTACTTTGCTTTTTCAGGGTTACCAGAGACCTAGTCACTACATTGCAACCCAAGGTAATATTTTGCTGAAATATATATAATATATCCAATTTTAAAATGCCAGTTTGGATGAAATCTGAAAGACAGCTCCAAGTTGCAGGTGGCAGGTTGTAGGAACACTCTTCCGGACCCCACATAATCAGACAGGAACATTGCATTGCACCATATATGTGGGAAACCTTGTGTATCTGTGAATCAGTCAGCAAAAGTCACTCAGCTTAATCTCTCCAGAAGTGGCTTGGGAAGACCTCTGTCTGAAACCTGAAGGTCTTTGCCTGTCATAGTTAAAACTAAACTAATGAACCAATAAGTTGGAAACAGTAAGAAATAATGGACCAAAAATCACCTGGGATACAAATCCACACACATTCTGCTTATTTGCATATATTGCAAAACATACATGCTTTCGCTGAGCAAGTGTGATACCCTTTCACATTATGTGTAGCTCAGTTCAAAGTTAACAATAGACTTTCACATATTTCAAGATGGTGTGTGTATGTTTTTATATGCCACCTTTATCCCAAAGCAAGGCCCAAGGTAGCTCATAGATAAAATTAGTTAAAACAATAAAAAAAATTAAAAACCAATTTAAACAGTATAAAATTGTTTGAAAAAAGTTTAAAACATAAAAAGTGTAGCACTGGAAAGCACTGAATCATAATATGAGTCATTTCCCAACAAACTGTTAGTTGGAGGAATAATTGTCCCTCAGTCTGGAGGTTATATGTAGTCATTGACAATCATTAGCAGCCACTCGTAACTTTATCCTAGCTGAACTGTCAGCAATAAAAGGAATACTGAACTGAGAAGTACCAGAATTTGACATTTAAAAAGCTAGTGAACTTGAAATTGTTTGTGCCTACATAAGAGTAGGGATGCAAAATTGTTGAATACTATGATAATACTAGGTCAGTAGATTTTTCAGTGTTGATAGTGTTAGCAAGCATAAGGTGACTTTCATTATGCTAATGGACCCACTCTACTGAGTCTCAGATATTGGCATTTCCTGGCATAAGGCAAGTTTAAGAAACTTAATGCCTACTTCATTTCTTTTTTTAAAAAAACTAATAATCTCATTTCAATGAGATACTTAAATACTAATGATGCATAAGTTATAACTTCAGCAGTTTTTAAAGGATTACTGGAGTCCTTCATACCTAAGGGGAAAACTGACAACTATTTTAGAGATCAGTGGCTTTGCAGTAATTTTACATTTCTTTAAGAGCATTTTCTTTTCCAGGACCAGTCCATGAAACAGTGTATGATTTCTGGAGAATGATATGGCAGGAACAATCAGCATGCATCGTTATGGTGACAAATTTAGTTGAGGTTGGGCGAGTAAGTATTGAAAATGTTGAAATCTTAAGAAACACACTTAAATAGTGTAATTCCTTTGGTTACAAATGCATTGAAGATTACTCTGGAAATAGAGGTACGAAAATGTAACCCTGAAAGGACAAATGGGTATCAATATCTTCCAACATAGGCGTTAGAGAATTGTATTGAACCCATTCTATCTCATCTACAAGTTTGTGTAATTTATGGGTGGGCTTGTGTGCACATAAATTCATCACACATGTCATGGATTGAATGATTGATGTTCCACTTATACCTGTCACTTTTGGAGGTGGGCTAAATGCAGCTGTGAGACAGGATAAGGAAGTATAGACTCATTCCTTCACTATGGGAAATTACCAATTTATCAATTTGCATGCGTGTGTAAATGTGTGTGTGTGAGAGAGATTTCTGCTTGCTTTTTATTTAATCACTCCTGTCTTATAGCTGAAAAATCTCTCAAGGTGGGCTATAATTTATAAAATACTTTTACTTAACTGTAGTTTCACTTCTTAAATGACACCTGCTTTGTAGTGTTTTTACATAAAAGTGACATAACGCACATGTCCCAGTTTTTAAAGCATTTCCTTAATCTGAAGACATTCTAAAATGAGGTTTGGTCTTTCATGTCTGTAGGTTAAGTGCTACAAGTATTGGCCAGATGACACTGAAGTTTATGGGGACTTCAAAGTTACGTGTGTGGAAGTGGAACCACTTGCAGAATATGTGGTCAGGACATTCACCCTAGAACGAGTAAGTGTTTTTAAAAATTGTGAACTACATATTCAGATTTTTAGCAAATTAGGCATTTTATGATCCAATTAAGGTATTTTCTCTCTATCAATCCACCACTGGTCCACCTACATTCTGTTACACTAGACATACTGGACTTTCCAAACCTCCAAAATGTGTTCATGTACATTCACCTCAACAGTATTCCCATCCTGTTATCCTTAGATTTTCAGATTGAAACCAAGAGGATTTACCTGTGTGAGACAGATTTTAATAAATTTTGGAATACAGTAAATGACATTATATATGAAATAATTTTAATAAGTTATGAAACCATTTTAAAGAAATAATCAAATGTTGCATAATGAGTTAAATGAGCAGAACTCAGCAGGAAGAGTTGGGAATGAGATTCAAAACAGCACCCAACAATTAAAAGAAATATCGTTTAAAAATCACAGCAGACACAAGCAATTAAACCATTATGGAATCGAAACCAGTTAAAGGCATCAAACCCTAAAGCAACACCAAATGAAAGTCCAGCACATTTTATAGAGCTTATTCTCCCTGGAAATTCGTTCTCAAAGCTGTGCCAAAATAAAAATAGATTTTTACCTACTTGCAGAAGGAGTGTGCCAATCTGGCCTCTCTGAGAGGGAAATTCCAGAGCCTGGGAGCAGCTACCGAGAAGGCATTCTCCTGTGTATCTGTGAGTTGGTGAAATTAGAAGATATGATTTAAAAACAACCTAGAGAATCAACAGTTCTTAATATGGCAGTATGAGGGGGTGGGAAAATAAATTATGAACTGTTCACAATCTGTGGGAATCTAACAGAGATAAATTTGGGTATGACAATCACAATGAGGAATAAGAAAAAAAGAATTACATCCTACCCAGCAGAATAGCATTCCTGTGTGTCTTATATCTTGCAAAACAGATTGGGTAGTAAGCTAGGGTACTTTCTTCCTGTGTTTATCTGTTGTCAGTTGTTATTGCATTAATTAGCTCACATTAGCCTGGATCGGAAATAACAGGAAACCATAGTTTCCCACTTGGCCAAGCTGCAAACGCTTTAGCTTACAATCTCTTCTTTCTTTATGAAAAGGAGATTGGGAACATCTTGGTCAAATATTATACAGGAAAGTGTTAACTGAAGGCTCCCCAAAACAGAATATTTATTTTGTTTCCTGAGAGGGAATTCTTTGGCTCTTGACACCTTGGAAGAACTGGGTTTTTAAGTGCTAATAAACTCTGTGTGCAATAGCAAAGAAAGGAAAGTTTGAGTGGGTTTGTGAGTGTGTATCCCTGCATTCTTTTCCTGTGTGTTGTTCTCTGTCCTCACTAGAAAAATGCTTTATTGTATGTATAGCTGTCTAATCGATTTCCATCTTAGATTGGCTCTGCACTGTAGAAATAATCTAGTCTGATGCCACTTTAACTTCCATGGTACAATGCACTGGAATCATTACCAGCACTTTGCCAAAGAAGGCAAAAGGCCTTGTCAGACTAAAACTACATAATTCAATTAAAGTAATGTAAAATTACACAAATTCTACAGTGTAGATCAGGCATGGGTAAACTTTGGTTCTCTGGGTATTTGATGTCTTTGATGTCTGAAATCAGGGGACTGTGATTTGTTTCAACTTCTCTGAAGAGCTAGATATCTGAAACTTGATCTTGGCTTCTTATTGGTGGAGCTCAAAGAAAGATCAGATTTTTCAGATGTCCTCATAGCTATGGAAAAAATTGGACTGAACAAATCTGAAACCTGTGCAGGTTTATTTGGTATACTAGATTTGAACTTTGCAATTACATTTCTTGACATGTGCCCTCCATATTGAGCACTTTTTTCACCAGTTATATGAACCACACATATAATAGTCCATCAATTAATTGAACCATTATTCAACTAATTGATGGAAAGTACCTACACGGTAGGACTGGATTCAGTGACCTATCTCCAGCACCTCCTTCAAGGTGTGCATCTACCTTTCTTCAGAGGAGGACTTTGTTGAAAGCAGAGGGACAGAGAGCTACAATAACAGCTCCATTCTCACAGCAGGCAATGCAGGATCTTGACATTTCTTGAAGCCCATTTCTATAAAATATATTTTCAACCAGTAAGATACTTTTGACATTGTATACTGGTGAATATTTTTCTTCCATGTATTGGAGTGTTTGTCTTTTTAGCAATTGATAATGTATGTTCTTGTATATACCTAGCTCATGTACTATGTATCCCCCCTTTCCCCCACTTTTTATGTAATTGCACTTTTTAAAAAAGTAAATCTGTTTGTGCGTGTCACCTTGTGATGTACAGAGTACTCTGGTATAAAACTGATACGTTGTAATGTAGACATGTCCTTTGTGCAGTATTTCACTTTTGTCTTAACCCTTGAGAGTTGTTTTCCTTAAGAATATTCTCCTTTATATTTACATGCAAGCTAGTCATATTCTGGGTTGCTCAGGAATCTTTTCATAAGTGGTTGTAATTTTATTATACATGCCTTAGTCACATAAATATACAATGTTGGGGTATGATGGGAAAATTGTGGTGCATTCTGTATTGGAATGGGGTTATGAAGGAAGCTGATAAAGATAATCTGACAGATTGTGTTTATAGTCATGCATAAAAATTCAGTGGTAGACAGTCCACTTTAAACAACACTTGTCGCATTTTTGGCTTAGAATACTAACAAAAATGTTTATTGATTATGGCAGTTATTCTTGGCTTAAAATTCAGTATTTAGATTTTAATATATGCCCGCCCACCCCATAACTCATCAAGTGAAAAAATAATCATTTTCTTTTGTTTTTATATTTTGACAGCGAGGTTACAATGAGATCCGTGAAGTTAAACAATTCCACTTTACTGGATGGCCTGATCATGGGGTACCGTACAATGCGACAGGCCTTCTGTCATTTATACGGCGTGTAAAACTATCTAATCCTCCAAGTGCTGGGCCTATTGTTGTGCATTGCAGGTGTGTAGAGAAGAGGTAGATGCACTTTCTATAATTTCTCGATGTGTGCATGAGCTGTAGTCTCTTGTGAAGTGGTCTTGATGTGACATCGTTGGTTTGGGGACATAAAAGGGTGAAGGTAGAGTTCTGTCTCACCCTCTGACAGGTGAAGTTTGACAAAACTGTGGTCCAGTAGACAAATTTACCTATATAACCTAAAACTTTAAAATCTTTCTTGTATGTACTGAAATAATTTCCCAACAGCTTTGACACTATCCGTGGTAGCTTCAGATAAAAGAAGCATGATCTAACATCATCTAGGGACTCAGTACTGGTAAAATTTGATTTAGATATTTTAATACCCCCCCCCCCAAACACCCCTACATTTTCTCAATTGTTCCTGGAAATGTAGGGGATTAGAAGTATTATTTGACCTATCATTCCATCCCTTGTTACAACCACTAAGATTTTCTGGCACCTTACCTTCTGAATGAAGCATCTAAGCATGCACCACCATGTTGTTTCATGTCAATGGTTTCAGGGGAAAAGTACTTTTAACCAGATATCAGTTCCTTCAAAGTCTTTTATCTTTTAGGAAAGATTTTCAAATCCCAATACTGACCTTTTTGTGTAATAGTAAAGGTGACAATCATTTTTTAAATTGCTACTCTCAAAACCAGCTGAGTATCAGTGGTTCTCAGCCTGTGGGTCCCCAGATGTTTTGGCCTACAACTCCCAGTTTACCAGCTGTTAGGATTTCTGGGAGATGAAGGCCAAAAACATCTGGGGACCCCAGGTTGAGAACCACTGGTATAGATTCTCATGTATGTGCAGCCAGAGAATACTTCTACTGGGAAAGTTTTTATTTAAAAAAATGAGATGTCAAAGTTTCACAAGAATATAAGTCTGTCACCAACATTAGTATTGATCTCTGAAGTTTGAGTACAGCTATAAAGAACAAGAATGGAATTTTAAAATGTGCCAATTTTTGCAGTCATTGTAATGTGTATCCAGCTTGTCCCCGTAGTGGCTTTGCCTGAAAAAGAAATAATTCAGATTCACAAGACAGATTTTACCTGATTTCCACCAAACTCCCTCCTGAAAACTGGACCTTCTTAGGGCTTCTGCTTTTGTCTTCATTGTTACTTGGTTGATTTTTATTGAAGTAATGCTCTGTAAATTTATTCCAGTGCTGGAGCAGGACGAACTGGCTGTTACATTGTAATTGACATAATGCTAGACATGGCAGAAAGAGAAGGTGTTGTGGACATCTACAACTGCGTCAAAGCATTACGTTCACGCCGGATCAATATGGTTCAGACAGAGGTATTGTGCCTCATTATTTTGTATCAGATACATTTTGTAACCTAGCCTAGAAATAACACCAAATCTTGGTATATCTGGACAATTCATTAAACCAAAATGAGAGTTTAAAAACTGTTCCCACATAAACTTCAACCCATTCCTAATAGTCTCATCCTCTATATAGAGTGGCAAATTTGCAGGATTTCCATTTCACCCAACCAACTCAGTAGTTAAGAATTGTAGAGAAAGTGGACTGAAGTTTTCTTATTTTCTTTTTGTAATTTCGAGTCTTCCAATATAATAAATTAATTAACTTTATTTATATTCCGCCTTTATTTATATATCTCCCCTGGGGGACTCAGGGCGGATTCCAACAAACAAAAAGGCAAACATTCAGTGCTTCAATAACAATAAGTTCAAATATAATAATCCATAATAACCCCACATAAAAGGCACCTTAAACATAACAACTATAAATTAAATAAAACACAGTCTATCAAAAATTATAACTAACATAAAACGTGAACACAAATCTGAATTAATTTACAAAAGCACCATAAAGGTTCACAGATGTGTGCATTGATTGAATGGTCAATGATGTTAAATGGGCTACTGTGGTCTAACAAAGCCCAAATGCATTTTTACTTTCCCATCAGCAATCTGGTAATATTCTCTCTTCATCTAGTCCTCCTCCTCTCCATATGCTTGTGAACAAAGATAGATTTTCAGAGAGACGGGAAGGGGCCAGCTTTATTTCTTTAGGGAGGGAGTTCCAGAGGAGGGGGTGATCATGGAAAAGGTCCTCTCTTTCATTCCCACCAGCCGTACTTGAGATGGGGGTGGGACTAAGAGCAGGGCCGCCTCCTCTGATGATAGATTCAGGATAAAGAAATACTTTAACTACCACCACTGCTACCACCAAACTCTTTTAAAATACTGACCATTTTAACCTAATAAATAAGACACACACAAAAAGGAAAAGAGTGGAAAAGGAAAAGAAATCAAGCACTGGAGTGAACTCTTTTTTCTTTTTCTTTTGGAATCTATTTGCTATGCTTGTACACCGCCTTTCTCAGCCTTATTGGCAACTCAGTGGAAAGGCAAAGCAGACAAGTAGCACATATTGGTCTGCTACTTGGCATAAAGTTGACTTCCTGAGGTACAGAGTATAAACTATAACCTAAATTTAATCATCCAAAATTGTATTCATGGCCAGTACTTAATTGTGACACTATTGATATGATCATAACTCCCTTCCCCAACCTATTTTATTTAGCACCAGCTGCATGGGAAAACGAATGTCCCTTCTACCAACAGAGTATGGGCAAATTATATGTTAATCATGTTTGAGGTAGTTGGGCCAAGAGAGGTGATTTTATATTGTAATTGTAGTGGTAAACTACAATTACAATATAAAATCAGATTTAATAGATCTGCCCCATATTCCCCTCGATTTCAATTCCTGCAAAATTTCCCTGTGGTTTTCTTATCTGTCTTCTGTAGGAAAGATCAGTTTTGACCTGGATATTGAAATGCCATTCTTTTCCTTCCTCTTTTCAGCTGTAATTTGCCTCATAAACATTCTAATAAACGAATCCTTCATTAATCCTATAATACATAACTATATTGAATCTAATCTAGTGTGAGTATGAGTGGTCTTTGTTTTGGCAATCTCTGTGATTGTGAAAGACATCTTGTTCCCAATTTTAGAAAATGTATTGACTTTGCACAATTTCCTGCATCCCATTCCACATTCTGCTTGATGGGTCGTAGTATCTCTATATGTCACAGTGGACTCCGGGTAGATAGGAGCAGCAGGCACATTCCTAGGACAGGGCTTTCTTGCTGTCAGATTTGGTTGGATGCACAACTACAGATAAAATGCATTTATAGTTGAGAAGTCCTTTAATATTCCTATTAATGATAAGATATTTGGAATATATAAGTAGGTACTTTCCAACTGGGATGTCCAATTTAATGCCTTGTACAATGATAATTAGATGAACTACTGCTACATATTGTTAGACAAATTTGCTGCTGTTCATTCTGTAGAATAAAAATCTTTTTCAGTGCATCAGGCACCTATTGTGTAACAACCAGTTTTTGTTGAAAAACTTTGCAGTCCAACTGCAGAAAGACATAAGATTGTGATATAATTTTTTCCTTCACAAGTTGGTTGCCAACACCATCTAGTAAGTCTAGCAACTGAAAATATGATTCCTTTCACCCTCATTTTTCTCTTCCCTTACTCCTTATTCTTTAACATCTGCTTTCCAGGACCCAGGCCACACATTATTTTACTAGTGCTAATATAGCAAAACAGCCATTATTTTGCAGGTGCAGTGTAATATGATCATAAAAGACTTATCTAGGCAACAATCCAGTTGGCAAATTCAAAATGCTGGAAAAACATATTCGGCACTGAACTGAGTTTAAAAGCTGCTCCATACCAACAAACTAAAATGCCAGCAAGACAAACATGAGCACCACAATTTCATGCAAGAATTGTTCTCATTTTTCCCCTATATGGAAAATCCTGTCAGCATTATTGCTTTTATTTTATCAGCAATGTACATAAGCATTTGTACAAAAGAACATAACCAAGATGGGCACATTATTGTTCTTCTATGAGGAAACCACATTTACTTAACCAGCCTTGAGTTTTCTATCCAGAATTAATAATATATATATCAAAACCATAATATAAATACTTAGCAGGGAATAGAAGTTGAAAACATTATGGAATACAGCATGCATAGTAGGCTTGGGAGCTGCACTGTTATTGTTGTGTGCCTGCCTTCAAGTTTCTTCTAACCTACAGTGACCCTAAGGCAAATTTATATAACAGTTTATTTTAGCAGTGATTAGTAATGTGTGGTGAGAATGTTTTCTAGTTCCAATTTAGATAGGGTGGACCTTTTCTTGCTTTTGGAGTGAAGCCCTAAATTATGAAGGCTTTTGTTATTATTATTTTAAAAAAAAATCTCATCCCGATACAGACACTTCATGAGATGTTGAAGCATGTAAAAAAGGAGTAGTTGAGACAATCTTAGTGATCCATTATGATTTAAATAAAAACAAATATTTTTAATGCATTGGATTTAGCTTAGCTTGCAATTTCTAGGGATCTCTGAAAGTGACACAGGGAAATAGATATTTGTTGTTTTCTGAAATATATCTAATCACAATTTGTTTTCATTATTAACATTCAGTTTTGGGGGGATTAAAACACAGCCAAGGGCCTCAGTGGTGCAGCGGGTTAAATAGCTGAGCTGCTGAACTTGCTGACCGAAAGGTCGGTGGTTTGAATCCAGGGAGTGGGTTGAGCTCCCACTGTTAACCCAGCTTCTGCTAACCTAGCAGTTTGAAAACATGCAAATGTGAGTAGATCAATAGGTAGTACTTTAGTGGGAAGGTGATGGTGCTCCATGCCATATGATCTAGGAGGTGTCTACAGACAGTGCCGGCTCTTTGGCTTAGAAATTGAGATGAGCACCACCCCCCAGAGTTGGACTCAACTGGACTTAATGTCAAGGGGAAACCTTTACCTTCACTTTAAACACAGCCATGTTGGTGGGTGACCATTAGAGTTTCTAATTCTTGATATATGGAGCTATTCATAGCATTTCTCCAGACCTAATTTGTTGTTCTGCTGTTTTGTAGTATCAAAAAGGAATTTGCCCCACAAGACAGGGGAGGGAGGAAAAAGAAACCCCTCCCCTCAAAATACCAAATGTGTATTACACAACCAGCTGATACCTTTGCCACTGAGTATTGCTGGACTATAGATTTGCCATTTCCAGGAAAGCACACTGATTAAATGAATCTCATTTAAGAAATAGTTTGTGATTAAGCAGTATAAAAATGGATTGAGTTAAGCTACCTTGAATAGGATTTCCAGCACGAAGGTATATAAAACAGATTTCATTTCTTATAAAAAATGTTGAGAGAATCTTTTTCTGTTTCTTCTTTGGCAGGAGCAGTATATCTTTATTCATGATGCAATTCTGGAAGCCTGCTTATGTGGAGAAACTGCCATCCCTGTATGTGAATTCAAAGCCGCCTATTTTGACATGATTAGAATAGACTCTCAGACAAACTCTTCACATCTGAAAGATGAATTTCAGGTATTTTCAGCAGCTCATTTATACAGCAACAACATCTCTGGTTCCAGTTATATATTTCTCCAGTTTATATATCAGATTCATAACCTCTTAGCATTTCATTGTGTTAACCCTAATGCTTCACCTAGATCTTTCATAATGTGCTTAACACTGTCATCTATAAATCTGGAATTCCATTGTGTGATTCTAATTGCTAATTTATTTGAACACCAGTAGCCTCTGGCCTTCAGGAGTGTTTTTTTTTCCTTCAGTTTAAGCATATATAAAAGTTCCCTTGTGAGTCTCTTATTTTCTTCTTTTATATGGGATGCAAACTGAGAACCCATTCAGTGCATGCAGACTAATTTTTTCAGAGTTGAACTTAACATATTTTTTCCTCATGGCTCTCAGTAGCCTCACTATTCAATATTACGTAGTGCCCAGATGAATCCATGTAAAATATACACTAGATCATAATAAAAACTGCCTCTTCCTTCCAGACCCTGAATTCTGTGACTCCTCGGCTTCAGGCTGAAGACTGCAGTATAGCATGTTTGCCAAGGAACCATGACAAGAATCGCTTTATGGATATGTTACCACCAGACAGATGTCTGCCTTTCTTAATTACTATTGATGGTGAAAGCAGCAATTATATCAATGCTGCCCTTATGGACGTAAGAGGGTTTTTTTTCTTTTTGTCGATGTAATGTGCCCTATAAGTATGCAAAATGAGATGTAACATTTTTTCTTGTGACTTGACAAAAATAAAATGAATACAGTGTAAAATGCTCTTTACGTTCAAAAGAGGGGGTAGTTCTCACACTCCTGTAGCTTCAGTTTCTCAGTGCTACTTTTGCCACCTGCCTTGAAAGAATCTTACACTTTAAAAATCCTTTACTCTTTAAGTTAATACTCCCCTTGGCCATTTTAAACTTTGCTAAGCTTTTTATGTTATAGCTGCAATCATTCTTTTCTGTACTTATTTCCACCCCAAAAAGACGTTTTCTTTTAACTGCTGATCAGACAAACCCTTTTCAATTAAGGGTTTATGTTTCAGATAAATTTGAGAAAGAGCGATTTAGCAGATCAAGTGTCCTTTTATAGGCAAGCTTTGGCGGTTGAGCTGGATGATAGTCTCTCGCAGACTGCAGTGGTTTCCACGGTTTCCTGGCAAGTAGTATAGATGTAGAGCTCCACTTACATGATCTCTCCGTTATCCAGACAGAGATCCACCAGGAGGTTCCCCTGTACTTTCTGCAATTGTTTTCTCTGAAGGGGACTCCAATTAGAGGTTGCAATCTGTCATCTTTCTTCTCCAGAAGTGGAATTTAGTCTTTTTTGAAAATGTATGAATGGAAATTCTAGTACGAGACTTTCTATGTTAATGTGCAGCCACTTCTACCTATTTGCCTTTTACTAATAAATACAGTCCTACGAGAAATAAGGGATACATAAATTCAGTTTCATATATTGCATAGTTCCTACATGTATTTTCAGCATGCATAAAATGTAATTTTCTATTCTATTCTCAGTCACTGAAAGAAAAAGAGTGTTATTCTCTAGAATGTGCATTGTATACCTTTTTGCCCATAGAATGTAGTGGCCAGTATATGTGTAAGTTTTGTAGTGGCCAATTAAAGTGACAAACTTAACCTGGCATGTGTCTTTTAGAGATTCATTGGCAAAGAGTGAAATGATTGAGTGTACTTTTTCCATTTCTGAGTAGGGCTTAATTTTTTTTTAAAATGCTAATTTTTCAGTTAAGTCTGAGAAGTGTCATTCCTTTACTGTTTGCTCCTTTCTGCTAATAACTGAGAACAACATGCTTACGGGAAGAGTTAGGTTATGGGAAGAGTGCTGTGAAGTTGTCTGATATTCATGCAACACAATTTTGTTTCTGACTGCTATAATCTTATTTTGTTTGCACATTTTATTAAATACAGAGCTACAGGCAACCTGCTGCCTTCATTGTCACACAGCATCCTTTGCCAAATACTGTGAAAGATTTTTGGAGACTGGTATATGACTATGGGTGTACCTCTCTTGTGATGTTAAATGAAATTGATTTATCACAGGTAAGCACCTAATGTCTGAGGGTTGTGCAAAATTCATTAAAATGGTTGTGCTCTTGTCTATATTAACTGAAAGACACTTAATATAGACAAGAGCACAAAATGAGGAGATCATGTGAATAGATGTTCCCAAGTGTAAAAGAAAATATGTGTATCAGGGTGAAGAAAACACTAGATTTTTTTTTCAAATGATACTTGGAAGGTATTTTGATTTAATTTTAATTTACAGTATTTTATTACCTGTTTGATCAACTTAAAAATCTAAACAAGCAAAAAATAAAGAGTTTTTAAAAGTGTATCAGTTACAAGCTCATGAGAAATGGATGCTTTTAGGAAGGGTACTTTAAAAGTAACTTCTTAAGTTCTGCTCCCAAATATGTGGGTTTCCTTTGAAGTTGTAAAACCACTTTCTATATCATCAATAGAATACAATACTGATCAAATAAATTAGATAGCGTTTAAACTTATGTACTGAGCTCCATCATTTTAATCAGAGCATGCCCTTGTAGTTGGTCTCACTTTTCATATATTAAGCTTCATTCCTCCTCATACAAACACCTCCAAATTTCTACCAAGTTAGTTAAGCAAATGAAAAGCATCTTAATTATAGCTATAATTGAATTGTACAATTTCTCTGTTGTTGTAATAGTTTAACATTAATTTTTAATATGACATAGGGATGTCCACAGTATTGGCCTGAAGAAGGAATGCTGAGATATGGTCCTATTCAGGTGGAATGCATGTCGTGCTCAATGGATTGTGATGTAATAAACAGAATCTTCAGGATATGCAATTTAACAAGGGTAAGCAATATGGTTATGACTGACAGGAGAATCCCATTTATGGAGCTTCTATTGGATTTTGGAGTTTAAATTATTTTTTTTTGCTGGGGAAGGATAGAAAAACAAAACAGGTTAAAGGTTTTCATAGCAAGCTGGAAACATAATAGCTTCAGTGTGTTTGGCAGATGAGGCTTTTTTGTTGACTCAGTCTGTTCTAAACAGGGAATTTTACAATGAGCCCAAATTGTCATTGTGTTCCTTTGAGGAGCAAATGACAGAATAGCTACACAGTTTTTTTAATGCTGTGATCTACTATTATGGTAGTATACTTACTTTTATTTATTTATTTATTTATTATTTGAACTTATATGCCGCCACTCCCCTGGGGCTCGGAGCGGCTTACAAGAATAACTAAAATCTAACAAAATTTAAAAGCAATTTAAAACAATTTAAAAACAGCAATATCAAACATTAAAATCCTGTCGAAACAGGTATGTCTTACATGCCCTGCGGAAAGCTGGTAAGTCCCGCAAGGCACGGACTTCAGGTGGCAGAGTATTCCAGAGTGATGGTGCCACTGCTGTGAAGGCTCTGCGTCTGGTTGCTGTTAGACGCAAGGTCTTGACACTGGGGACTTCCAATAGATCTTGGTCCTCAGAACGGAGGGATCTCTGGGGTTGGTAGGCGGTGAGGCGGTCCCTCAGATACATCGGCCCCAGACCATGCAAGGCCTTAAAGGTGAGTACCATCACTTTGAAAGTGATCCGGTGCTCAATTGGTAACCAATGCAGCTGTAGTAAGGTTGGTGTTATGTGGCATCTCATCGGAATTCCCGCAAGAAGCCAAACAGCTGCATTTTGTACCAACTTGAGCTTCTGGATCACCGACAGAGGAAGGCCAATGTAGAGGGCGTGACAGTCTTGAGATGACTGTGGCCTGGATCACCGTAGCTAGGTCATCCCTGGACAGGTAGGCGTCTAGCCTGCCGCAGATGAAAGAAGGCGGTTCTGCTAACAGCGGAGACCTGGGCCTCCATCGTCAGCAGAGGGTCCAAAAGGACTCCCAGACTCTTTACCAATGATGACGGGTGTAGCGCCTCGCCATCCAGGGTAGGCAGCTGGATGTCCCCACTGCCCGGTCGATCCAGCCATAGGATCTCCGTCTTTGCTGGATTCACCCTCAACCTACTGGCACGCAACCATCCAGTAATGGCCTCGAGGCACTGATGGAAACAATCGGGTTCAGAGTCCGGTCGGTCTTCCATCTTCAGCACCAGCTGAGTGTCATCGGCGTACTGATAACACTCAAGCCCAAAACCTCGAACCAGCTGAGCAAGTGGTCGCATATAGATGTTAAATAACAGAGGGGATAGAATGGCCCCCTGAGGAACCCCACAAGATAGAGGGGACCTCTCAGAGACCAGGCCTCCCCTCTCCACTTGCTGTCCACGGTTGTGAAGAAAGGAGGACAGCCAGTTCAAAGCTGTCCCCCTGACTCCAGCAACAGCAAGGCGCTGGGTCAAAAGATTGTAGTGTAGTGTTGACCGAAAGGTTGCAGGTTCGAATCTGGGGAGTGGCGTGAACTTCCGCTGTCAGTTCCAGCTTCTGCCAACCTAGCAGTTCGAAAACATGCTAATGTTAGTAGATCAATAGGTACCGCTCTGGTGGGAAGGTAACGACGCTCCATGCAGTCATGCCGGCCACATGACCTTGGAGATGTCTATGGGACCTTGGAGGTGTCTATGGACAATGCCAGCTCTTCAGCTTAGAAATGGAGATGAGCAGCAACCCCCAGAGTCAGACACGACTGAACTTAATGTCAGGTAAAAACTTTTACCTTTACCTTAATGTTGTGTAAAAGGCACTCTGGGGCTCAAACAGAGGTACTCTTGTCACAGTTACTGGCTTGTTTGCACCACTGCTATGATGGACAATTATTTTTATGTTCACCCCATTTCTAGTGATTTCATTCAGTTAAATGAGTGCAAACAATCCTTTGGGGGTATTTTAAAATAAAGATTATTTTCAGTCATTTCAATCTGCATCAAGCTACCGATACAAAATTTAGGTGACTCTCAAATAATTCATCCATCTCTGTCTGCCATCCATATTCCAGTGGCAAAACGAATATTAAATGATTGCAAGTCCAAAGTAACTGCTCTCCTTCCGGTTTTCTATGTTATTGTCTTTATTTGCTATACATAATTTGACATTGAGTAGAATGGGTAGATTCTCAATTTCACTGCATAGAGAGACAATTCTCTGTGACCTTTGTCTAATCTAAGATTTTTCTCATCAAATATTGCCTAATCTTTCTATTTATCCCCCAACTCAATTCAAACGTTTTTAGAATAGATCTTTGTTATTGTGCCCTATAACAAAACCTCTTTCTCCACATTTAGTTTGTGTTTTGATTAAGAGCTTGATTAAGTAGAAAGCTTTATTTTTATGTCTTATAAATGGGTCTTAATAAACCTCTGATCTTGCTGTTATTTGTTTTCTTTCAATATAAAAGATAAGTGAAAGAGAAAAAATATATGGCTACTTTTTTATTTTTAACATTAAATTATTTTCAACAGCCTCAGGAAGGTTATTTGATGGTACAACAATTTCAATATCTGGGATGGGTGTCTCACAGAGATGTGCCAGGCTCCAAACGGTCATTCTTGAAGTTAATTCTTCAGGTTGAAAAATGGCAAGAAGAATGTGAAGAAGGGGAAGGGAGAACAATAATTCACTGTCTGTAAGTATCATGTAGTTTTTCACACTCCATACTGTCTATTGCCTGTAATGGAAATGTGTGTTTGGGGCTTTTTTATTTAAATATTTCTAAATTCTCATGTATCAGAAGATTTCCAGGTAAGGTACAGTAAATGAAATGATTTTAGAGCAATCTAATAGAAACTAAGGTATGTAATACCTTATAATAAGTGGAACCCACAGTCATGTGTGTTTTCTGAAAAATGTTGGATTGAATTCCTCCCTGCCCAATGCCCAGGGCTTCTTAAACTTTTCCACTCAGGACCCCCTTCTACCAGAGAAATTTTAATGTAGATAGATAGATAGAAAGATAGACAGAGAGAGAGAGAGAGAGAGAGAGAGAGTAAAAAGCAATTTTTATGGATAAAAATCTGCTTTTGCAAGGCTTGCTAAACAGGGTGATGTTTTTTCTTTTTATGAAGCACAGCTTAAGCATCTTCTGCAGAGTCCACTGTAAATACTGCACAATAGATACATGTAAATATCTAAAACAGCCACTGGGTGATGTTCAGAGTACACCTTTAACAAACAAACAAAAAGGATTTTCAGTGAAACCCTATGAGTACAAATGACACTATAGATTTCCAGGACCTCAACCATTTCAGGTTGGGACCCACAGTTTAAGAAGCAGTGCTCTAAATAGACTGCTGTTTGTCTTGTGTGTCCCAGGTTTTAAATGTTTACATCATTTGTTTAAATTTAAAATACCAAAACCTTTTGACACACTTATCTTTACACATTCAACAAACTGCATGTGATGCATTGTTGTTGATGTTATTTTATGCTGTTTATGATGCTGTTTTTATAAATGTATTGTGTGATGCTTTTATGTTTTAATCTATGTTTTTTCTTCAACCTCTATAACCACAGGGGGGTATGTTCTAAGATACCTGAAATTGTGTGTAATAGTGAACTATGTATTTTGACTATCCTTGGGCCAGAAGCATACCATATAATAACACTGAGGGGTATAGAGTGGCCCACAAATACATCTGTGAGGAATATTTTTTGAAGCGTGGCCAAGTGAAACCTTGGGTAAAGAATCCATGGATAAGGGGTCAATCTGTATTTTCAAAAGAACTCTTGTTTTTGCTTTCAGTGGGGAACCTCAAGTTCTACTTCCAATCCTTAGAAAATCACTTGCATTATTTATTTCCATTTGGATAGAGGCAAATCTGTCTAAGAACTACTGGCACTATACTATCTACCACTTGATCGGTTTACCAGCTGTTAGGATTTATTGGAGTTGAAGACCAAAACATCTGGGGACAAGTTGAGAACCACTACCCTAGATGATTTGTGCTGTCGTGATTATTTTTAAGAAATAGCTTTTTTTTTGCAAAAAAAAAAAAGAACTGGAAAGATTTTTAAATTATTAAATCAAGATAGCAATAGTCAGATTTTTCAAGTTGAGCCTATGAAATACTGAGCTCCTTGAAGTAAGACTAATGGCATCACTTCAGAATGATCACCTTATCATGCAAACTTTCTTACTTTGCATATGGATTTTATTATTTGTTTGAAATGTTATCATATTGTTTATTTAAAATATTTGTTGTTGCTACATGGATTTATATAAAATGAATACATGTAATTATATGTATGTATATAAACCTTTCCTTTTCTTAAAAATATTTTTTTTATTTTGTGATCAGGAATGGCGGTGGACGAAGTGGAATGTTCTGTGCCATAGGTATTGTAATAGAAATGCTGAAAAGGCAAAACGTCATTGATGTTTTCCATGCAGTAAAGACTTTACGAAACAGTAAGCCAAATATGGTAGAAACACCGGTAAGTTTATGCATTTGGGGATTTCTTAAAACACAGAAGTTGCATAGAATGGTGTATTTTCCTATAGTTAAAGCTAACTATAAGATACAAAATGCATTAAGATAATATAAGGGGCCTTTGGTATTCACTGGAGTGTGTTTCTAGGACTCCCCCAAGGATGTCAAAATCTAAATATTGAAGTCTCAATATAGTAAAATGGCAAAATCCAGTTTTTGCTTAAACAAATTTTATTTGAATATTTTCAAGCCATGGATAGTTGAATTTGTGGATAGAGTGTTAACTGTGTGCACAAAAATATATACCCATAAATTACAGTCCCATACCTTTTCCCATTCACTGAATGCCTGCCGAAATGCCAAACCTTTTTTCATCTTTGACAAATTCCTGGTCATTGACAACGCTCTCTCTATTTCCCCTCTTCGTTCAGTTTGATTCATGGTATACAATATCAAGAAGTTTCTTTTTGCTGTCAGAAGTTCCATGATCTGAGAAATGAAACGTATCTCCTAAGGCAGTTTACAGAGAGCAGAGCAACAAACTTCATCCAATCTTCTCTTAGCAAGTTGAGGTCCTTTCTCTCCAGGAAACATAGCTGCTGTACAGCCTAAGTGCACTGAATTCCTAAATCCTGCTGTAGATAATTCTGTGGAGTTTAAGATTTGTCAGAACTTTTAGATATCTGTGCTTACTGATAGCAACAATGGACTATATTTGACACATGGTTTGTACATTCTCATTTTCACACCATGGAACATAGTTTAAACTCCATTGTTTACAGTCAGCCCTCCATATCCATGGATTCTGCATCCACGGATTCAACTGCTCATGGCTTGAAAATATTCCTCTCCAAAAAAAGAAAATCATTCTGTCGGCTCTAGCTTGCGGGTACATGAATGAAGCCTCTTAGCAGGATGGTAACACATCCAGGCGCCCCCTGGGCAATGTCTCTGTAGACGGCCAATTCTCTCACTCCATAAGCGACTTGCAGTATGTTGTCAAGACGCTTCTGACAATATATTTTTAAAAGGTCTCTCTGGCGGCAGGATTTTTCCCCCCCAGAGTCTCAAAAAGCAAAATGGTAAGAGGGAGCAAGAGAAAGTTGTGGTGTCAATAAGAGTAAAAGAATATTAGGAAAGAAAGCTCCACATACTAACAGATGATCACTTTATTTGTTTCTGCCACTAACAAAGTTGGCATTCGTAAGGGGCTACACTAAAAATACGTATATAATTCCATGAATAAGAGCAAAGATAATGTGGGAATAAGCATGAATATATGTGGAGAAAAGAAAACAGTTGATACTGAGAGTGAGGATAGTGGTGAATAGTAGTATTACTAGTGGCAAGCAACTATGGAAGTTACAGACTGACAACATCAGATGGTCATATGTTTTCTCCACCTTTGGGTTAGAGAAAGTAGAGAAGAGAAATGCTATCTTTTTTCTTTTAAATATTTTAAATTTAAAAATAAACTTTTCTCTTTGATTGCTGTAAGTTTTTTGGGCTGTATGGCCATGTTCCAGAAGCATTCTCTCCTGATGTTTCACCTGCCTCTATAGCAGGCATCCTCAGAGGTTGTGAGGTCTCACAGCCTCTGAGGATGCCTGCCATAGATGCAAGTGAAATGTCAGGAGAGAATGCTTCTGGAACATGACCGTACAGCCCAAAAACTTACAGCAATCCAGTGATTCTGGCCATGAAAGCCTTTGACAACAGACTTTTCTCTTCTTTACTCCCCACCTTTTAATTGCTTGCAAATCTTACATACAGGTTTTGGGGTTTTCAAATCATAAAATTTAAGCATTAGATAAAGTTTTTATTGAGTTCCAGGAGTTTATATGTCAAAGTTACATTTGCTAGTTTACTTCCTTTTGCACTTTAAAGCATTTTAGAATAAATATTTTGTCATGAGGAAACATTTTCTCTAGAAATGTAGTGTGTATGGATTTCTAATAATGCCACTTTATTCTTCAGCCCCCCCCCCCCAATAAATAAATGAAGAAGTATTTTGCTCTCCCACTGAAGTTGCTAAAAACTGTGTCATTCATTTTGTGGGTGAACTGTCTTAACCTCACGCACTTAGCAGCTGTTAAGTCGGGTGAGGGAACAAGCCAAGAACAACCAATGTAGCATTGTTACCTGCCCTACATTCAGCAAGATGATCAGATAACAAAGATGAAGGGAACAATAACACTTTTCAGAAAGCTTCTCCTACTTCCTGTGAACAGTTGTGCAGTGTTGGTTTCTAGGCTTGGGGGAAGGGAGAGATGGGTACCTTGTTTCTCATTGAATAAGCTAAATGTTTAAACATACTGAGGCTCGGAATCTGCCCTCCCCTCCCCAATTTTGGACAGCTGGTCCTGAGTTTAAAAAAAAACAGAGATCTTAAAATACATAACTTCCCAGTCATGCTAGAAATGCACATCCCTGGTTACCAATTCACCGAGATTCAAATTCCTACCTTATTTGCTCTTTTAGAATTTAATGCTGAGGGATAAAGTTGACTTTATAGAGTTTATTTTGTTGAATACCAAAGGACCTGATCTCTTGCTTTAACATTAAGGTATTCAACTTTGTTAACTATACAGTACAGTACCACAGATGGAACAATGTACTTATCACAATGTTTTTCATTTTTTAACTGATGGAGTAGCAAAACAATAAGAAAATAGCAACAATTAGTAGCAACTACGATGTAGAATTAGTGCAACTATGATGTTGAATTAATGCAATTTGACCCCACTTTAAGTGTCATGGCTCAATTCTATGGAAATATGGGATCTGTAGCTTGGTGAGGTACCAGCCCTCTTTGGCAGAGAAGACTATGGAATCCCATGATTCCATAGTGAGCCGTGGCAATTAAAGTGTTGTCGATGAAACCTAGAATTCTCTACCATTGTTGTTATGTAACTCTGTGTCCTGGCTCAGCTGTATCAAATTCCAATTTACCAGGCAGTATCTGCTAGGTTGATATGGCTCTGTTCCCTGCTGAACAGGAAGTAGCTGAAGTTTGCACTCCTCCCATAAATGATCTCTTATGCCACAGCCAAAACAGGGACCCTATAGTAATTCCCCCTCTCACTCAAGATCACCCACCTGAAAGCAGATGGGGATGTCAGCCTGGTGCTTCCTGTTCGACAGGGAACAGACTCCTTAGTAGCAACTCACTAGCAAATGAGGACTGGGGAACTTTCATGGTCTACATGTTTTCTACAACAGGATCACCTACGAATGTGTGATTCTAGGTCAGGTGTCCCCAAACTCAGGCCCTCCATGGTCATTTACCCAGCCCCTGCCCTAAATTTTAGATTTAGGGTAGCCCTAAATCTAAAACAAGCTGAAGGCACACAACAACAACAATCCTAATTAACTTGGCAATCTTATCAGCCAAAAGCAGGCCCACACTTTCCATTGAAATACTGGTAAGTTTATGTTGGTTGAAATTGTTCTTCATTTTAAATATTGTATTTTTCTTTCAGTTTTTATGTACTATAAATAAGATACGTGCAACCTGCATATGAATTTGTTCTTATTTTTTCAACCAATAGTCCTGCTCATCCTGCCCCCCCCCCAGCAGTTCAAAGAACCATGAACCATGAACTAGGTCATCTATTTGTAACAGCCCTAGTTAATTTTGGCCCATACCGTTAGGTTCTATTGCAGTGATTCTCAGCCTGTGGGTCCCCAGGTGTTTTGACCTACAACTCCTAGAAATCCAGCCAGCTTACGAGCTGTTAGAATTTCTGGGAGTTGAAGGCCAAAACATCTGGGAACCCACAGGTTGAGAACCACTGCTCTGTTGGATTGAGAGATTTCAAACCATTGGTAACAATATATTTCAAAGTATTACAAAATAAACAAATGAGGAGAGCCAGCAACAAATCTTAGTATTCTTCTCAATTTTCTATCTATGTGTTTTTCTTTAACAGGAGCAATATCGTTTCTGCTATGATGTCGCACTGGAGTATCTTGAATCATCTTAGTGGGAAAGGATGGATTCAATCAAGAGAACCAAATAATATGAAATTTCATGAACGGCATTTTGCCATCAGCTCTGCAACCTGTGAAGAATGAATTTAGTGAAGGGGAGAGTTAATTTTTAAATGCAAAAGTATTTTTCTTAATAAATGGTGTATCTTAATTATATATATAAATATATAAATAAAAAACTGTTTCTATGCCTGTATACAGTATGAACATATAGTGCCACAAATAAAAAGAAGGGCCAAGGCAGAGTGTGCCTGCTGTTGAAGGTAGGACTTTTCAGTGTTTGTATATTCAGCTGTCTCTTGGTTACACTAGAGCCCCCATCTGTTGCATGTATCTATTTCAACATTTTATTTCCCCTTTTCTCCATACTTTGATAAATGGTTAACAGTGAAACAACTGTGCAGATTGATCGTCTCTGTACGTTCCATGTGTTGCAAGGGAAAAAAAAGTTATATATACATTTATATATATGGTATGTATGATAACTGCTTTATTTTTTTTAATGTGCAATTATGGCCTGATCAAAGTTCTTTATAAAGAAATTTACACATAAGCCAAAGACTCAAGTGTACATATGTCTATATGATGAAGAAAGCACATTGTATTTATTGTTTACTGACATTCCTTTTCTGATGGATAAATGAAACCATTTTTCTCAAACATTTTTGTTGCTACTGAAATCAAGTGTAAATGATTTTTGTAGATTATTTTTTGTATGCTTTTGTGTAAGGAGAATGGGGTTGGAGGGTGGGGAGACTTTTTATGTATAGGCCAGAAAACACTGTCATAATTATTCTTGTTGTGTACATGATAATGAATTGAATCAACCTAAATTACTTGGTTACAGGAGACCAAACTTAAAACCATTTTTCTCAAAGTGTACAGATCTTTTCCAGTTTATTAATATAAATCGAATAGGAACTGCACACATCTATGCTTATGACTTGCACAATTGCGGGAGAAACTTCATTATTTTTTTAAAGAAATAGATTAACAATAAATGCTTGAGACATAAAGCAGACAAAATAACAAGCAAGGCTTGGTTAGAAGAATATTCCAAGTAAACAATCATTTTTTGTTAATGTATTCAGGTTGCAGGCGCAATCCTAGGCAGCCATAGCATGGGCAAGGATGCATGCAGCCCTCTCTCTCCCTTCAAACTCCATACTTAAAGGTTCTTCAGCCATCACCTGGGAGCCCGTTTTGTCTTTTAAAACTTCCTCCCAAATTCATCCAAGTCATTTGGTACTGTGAAAACTGTTCGGTCACCTCCAGCATGCATACATGCCCTACGAAATGGTTGTCTAGGCTTATGGCAATGGAAGCTTTGTGTTTTGACAAAGCCAAAATGGATTGAATCAATTCCATAGTTAGGCTATAGCTTTAGTCTCATTTTATGTTGCTCTTCATATGCACATTCATAAGCCTGGGCATATTTTCTTAATGATGAAATATTTGTGTCTTGTTGATTTTTTTGATCAAGAGTTAATGACAAGGTGCTTATAAATACCCATGTAAAGCAAGAGTGAATTAAAAAAGTTTTATAAAACATTAGTTTCTTCTTATTTTCTTTTCAACTACATTGCTGTTTTTTTTTAAATTGAAAGCACTATGCCATAAGATCGTGACTCACAATGCTGTCCTGAAGCTTTATTGATCCCAAAAAAAAAAACCCCTCTTCCCTCTCACTACCTACTTGAAGTTTCTAGAGTTATAAATGAAGATATTTTTAACACACTATGATTTTAAACACCTAGACACTGTGTACACTAGTGATTGTTTCATTTGCTTCTATGTGCAAGATTTACTCATCCTTTATATGTCATGCAAAAATTGCATGTGACATGCAACATATGATACACACACACACACATATACCAGACAGAATGATGTCTCTCAATTTTTATCACATACTAGCGTGGGTACCCGGCGTTATTTAAAAAGGGCCTTGTTTGTTTTAGGGTGTTAAGTAACATCATTTAATTAATTAATAACACTATTTATTAAAAAAGCCAGTTTTTGATTTTTTTTTCATGCCCCCATTAGAAAATGCATAAGGATGTGGGTAAACTACATTTTCCAGAATCATGGGTCAATCTTCTCCAAACCAGGCCTGTATGTACAGGTGGCCATGTTGCATCTGTGTGCCAGGTTTAGTCCAGATCGGACATTGGTTGTGTTTAGTGTCCATCATTTGTGGAGGTCACAGTGGCCTCAAGAAGTGAGGTCCAGTCCATCATTGGTTGGGTTCACAGTTCTCTCTGGATGTAGGTGAACTACACCTATAAATTGAGGTTGATTTCCCCAAACTTCTTGTTCAGTTGCTGATCAATTCCTGTTTGTTGCATGCCACAGTAAAGAGTAGGAAAGGGATAAGGGAAAGGCAGTGGGAGGAGTCATGCAAATTCCACAGCCATGGAAAAAGATTTCCTTTCTGTAGGAAAAACAAGAACATCTAGGAGGAAATTGTCCCTGAATGAAAGGATTCCTTGGGTGGTGGGCAGTATTATGTTCGGCAGGGGTGGTGAGACATATTCATGGCACCCGATGTAACCTAAAGTGTCCTTGGAGGGAGTTCTTTGGTGTCTCCTCAGCACTGTGGGTTATAGCTGTTTGTGGAGGCAGAAGGCTATCTGTGTAAGTGGATACTTCTGCCATATCCACACATACACATTTTGACTTCTATTATGTTTATAGATTAACATATTTCTTAAGACGTAGGGGGGAAAGTGTAGACTCCAACATATTAAAACTTGTCACTTTTCATAAAGCTTTTACAAAACATTTGAATAGCATATATGTTTTTCCACTCTCATTTTTGCAGCCTGCAGCTTCAGCTGGCTCAATGCTGCACATCAGAATAGCCTCAATTTTGCTATTTATATGCCAGGCAAAACACTACAGGCCAGCAATACAATAGTACAATGGCAACCCTTTGGAAAATTTAATTACTTTACACAAACATGATTTTTTTAATGATCCAGATGGTCTGGAATGTACAACAATTTGTCATTAGGTACATAGTATATAATTCATAGTATTCCACTGCTTCGTAGATAGCTTGTGCTGAACAGAAACAAGCACTGTCAGGTGCACCATTAGAAAATCCAGAGAGATAGGTTAACTTCTACCACACATTTATATCTTACCATTATCAGAAGCCAATTTAATGAGTAGAACATTAAGCTGCATATGCTACCATTCTCTGTCTCTGCCAAAAATGACCATCTGCAAATCTTGTCTGCCATCCAACAATTATTACCTTTAAAAAAGTGTAAGTTCTGAAAATCATTTGAATGTCAAATTCCTCTATACATGGAAGACCTATTGTGATCTCTCTATAAGTAAAGGTACATTGAAGGAAAGAATGATTGGCTGTACTCCTAGTTATAGGTTTCAACTGTTAAAGTTATTTCAGGTATGTTTTATGAAGATAATATATGTGAAAGAAATACATGTCATCTACTCATGCACCACCATTCACTCTTCAGAAAATGTGGTACCAAGGAGTTCACTCTATGCCTTCAATAATTTGGTGGGAAACACCATCAGGATTTCTCTAGATTTATTATATCAGTGAGTACATTGGGATAACAGAGTTTGCTATGTGTCCTCATTTGCCCTCAAGTACTTTAACAAACAAAAAAGCATTTTCAGTGAAACCCATGAGTACAATGACACCAGAGAATCCATCTAGTTTGTATTACAGGTGGCATTTCTAAAAATGGAAGAACTACAAGAATCTTGCCATGTGACTCGATAATAAGTAAAAGCTTTCTCTAAACCTTTCAGCTCTGCAATTGAAATGCTAACTAGCAAGAAGGGGGCAATTTGAGAGAAACATTTGTTAGGAGTGACTTAGAAGGCCAGGGCACCTCTGACTGACAAGTAACACAAAGGCCCTTTACAACCTCAGTTAGTATTTTTCTAAAGACTGGCATGTAATCCTCAAATTAAATGTGAAAACTTCTTGAACATTGGCTCCCATCTCAAATGAGAAGGTAACTTAATTTGTGCTTTTTCTTGCAATACAAAAAGAAATGTGATGAGAGTAAATGAAAAAAAAAAAGCTCCAAGATGTACTAGTTTTCCCCATTAAATAGTTTAGGATCAAATGTGCCTGTTGTGATATATCAAAAATGTAGCATACCAGATTAAGTTTGAAACTTTAGCAAAAGGAGGGGTTACAGGGGCATGCCGAAGTACAACAATGAGATCACAGACTGCTGAATTGGTACAATTGTATGAAGGAAGAGGTATTCATCCCAGTAGGTGTCCACCATAAATGACTTTTTTTCATATCAGAAGTGACTTGAGAAACTGCAAGTCACTTCTGGTGTGAGAGAATTGCCCATCTGCAGTGATGTTGCCCAGGAGACGCCCAGATGTTTTACCATCCTGTCGGAGGCTTCTCTCATGTCCCCACATGGGAAGCTGGAGCTGACAGATGGCAGCTCACCCTGTCATGCAGATTTGAACCACTGACCTTCAGGTCAACAGTTCAGCCAGTACAATAATTTAACCCATTGTGCCACTGTGGCTCCTACTCTCAATGACTGTGGGACTGCAGTGCTTCATGTAGTCAAGTCCTTATATTCAGCAATAGTATTTTCCTAATGTACTAAGAGCAGGGAGGTGTCATGTTTGTGTCCACAGAAACTGCTGTAAACAGAATGGATTATGTCCGGTTTTGTCCCAAGTAGAAATCCTATTCTCTCTGCTTTAGCCTCCTCATGCGTTCCAGTTCTTTTAGATGAGAATGGAGACACCATTGGGGTAGGGGAACTTCAGAGCAAGAGAAAAAAAACTGTGACTCTTTGTAGCAAACAAATAATTGTTTATAATTTTTGCAAGCTGAAGTAACCAACTCTCCAGGACCTGTTTGGCCAAGGGAAAAGAACTTCATGAAAGATTATTTGAAGTCAAAATATCAGAGATGTTCTTAGGAGCCACAGTATAATGTTGGATGAAGCCAAGGGCAAAAAGGTAGGCCAAATACCCCAATTATATTTTAAAGTTTTCGAATGGGCAATGGCGGGGGGGGGGGAGACATATAGAAAAATTGGGGAACCACTCAACAGCAATAATATAGAGAAAAGATTTGGAGCTCTGGGAAATCTGATAGGATCAGATTTGGCTTTGGGACAGAACTTTCCCTGGCAGGCTTTCAAGAGGACTATAAAAGAAGAATGTGAGGAAATGACTGCCGGCATGATGGTAATAGAGTGGTGAGTGATGTGAGGAATAGTGAATGACAGATGTAATAGAGTAGAGGAGAAGTGCAAAGAAGAATGTGAAATCAAAAGAGTTAGCAAAGACCAGAAGAATTATCTTTAGGATAGCTGTTAAATACATGAATCAGTTATAATTGGTAAAGTTATTAGAACTATTGGTGTCATCCTACCAATCTCAAGTAGAGTAGATCCATTGGAGCAATTGAATTGACCTACACGTTAACTCACCATTAAGCAATTGATTCAGTTGGCCTGCTCTAGCTGGGACTAAGTATCAAGCTATTGACCTTCTTGTGTAGTGAGGTGGTGGTAATGGCAGTGGTAATGGTATAATAGCTATTAAAATAATTGTTTTGGATATATTACATTTAAATATGCCCAGAAATTTAACTATGAAGTATGAAGGTATTGTGGTCAGAGGCTTAGTGTATTTTGCCTCATGCTGGCTTTGAATTATACAGCCAGTAATATAAATGGGAGACTCCAACCACTCTCTTAAGTCAGCAACTCTTTATTCTTAGGATATTGGGGAACCCAGGAACTTAGTGGATATTATTCAAACATCTCTAAGGGTCAGAGATCTGTAAGACACCTTGGGAATATCACAATGTCTCTGTATCCAAGTTTCAGAACTAAAAAACCATCGAGTTTCCTAGGTTATCTAAACCTTGAGTTGCTGATCCAGTACAACTGAAACCATTCTACAGCATAGCATTTGTTATCAAATTTATATAAATAAAAAAATACAGCTACTTCCTGCTGAATTTCTCAGATGTTGTTCAGATGCCTTCAAGTCATTTCTGACTTGTGGTGATGCTAAGGCAAATCTATAATGGATTTTTATTGGCAAAATATGTTCAGTATGTTTGTCTTTGTCTTCTAAAGCTGGGAGAGTTTGGTTTACCTCAAGGTCACTCAGTAGGTTTCTATGGCTAAGTGGAGATTCAAACTTTGTTCTTCCGATTTCTAATTAAACACTCAACCCAGTTCAACACATTGGCTTTCTTTGCTGCTCTCAAATGGCATCCAAGCAAAAATCTTAAACTTTGGAACCATTAATATGTATGGATGTTCTTAAATATATTTCTACTCTTATCAAAACTATTTTCCTTCCATCTGGGTTCCTTATTCTGTGCCTGAAGAAGTCTTCAAATCACTTGGACAAATGTTGCCATCAATTTTATTTGAAATGCTAGACATTATTTGCACTGCATGGTCTATCACTCATATCTGACAAAAAGAAGAAGTCATTTAGTATTGTAAACAGATTATTCTACCCAATCATTTCTTATCTTACCTACAGAGAGAGTTATTC